TGATCTCTCTCTGGTCTCTCTGGTCTCTCTGTGGTCTCTCTCTGGTCTCTCTGTGGTCTCTCTCTGGTCTCTCTCTGGTCTCTCTCTGGTCTGTCTCTGGTCTCTCTCTGGTCTCTCTGTGGTCTCTCTGTGGTCTTTCTCTCTGATCTCTCTCTGGTCTCTCTCTGGTCTCTCTGTGGTCTCTCTCTGGTCTCTCTCTGGTCTCTCTCTGCTCTGTCTCTGGTCTGTCTCTGGTCTCTCTCTGATCACAGAGAAACCACAGATTTTAGTCCAAAATGGTGAGGTCACTTTTACATAAGAGAAAGTTAGTTATCTTTAAGGTTTTCTATTGTTAAAATCACAGACTTCATCCAAAATGTTTGTTCTCTAAACTCTTCCACGGCACACTCCCCTGTGACCACATGGTATTTTTCATGGTTTATCTTTGAATCAGTGCATCAACGAATTAGCTTTGACTGTGGTTTTCATAGTGTGTTGGTGCAGAAATGCTAATATTGATGTTCTAAAAGGTCCCTTCTCTGGGATAGTAAAATTTTCCCATGGATCTATTTTAAGACCAGACATAGACCAGCGAGAGACCATATATAGACCAGAAATAGACCAGACCAGAATAGACTGGATTTTGGGTTTGTTTGTTTCAATGTTACGGGTTTAACCGATGTGTCAGCTTGTGGTCGGCTTCGTCAGAACAGTGGGAGGAGCTTTCGGCAGCACAGTGGGAGGAGCTTTGGCAGCACAGTGGGAGGAGCTTTGACAGCACAGTGGGTAGAGCTTTGGCAGCACAGTGGGAGGAGATTTGGCAGCACAGTGGGAGGAGCTTTGACAGCACAGTGAGAGGAGCTTCATCAGCACAGTGGGAGGAGCTTCGGCAGCACAGTGGGAGGAGCTTTCGGCAGCACAGTGGGAGGAGCTTTGGCAGCACAGTGGGAGGAGCTTTGACAGCACAGTGGGAGGAGCTTTGGCAGCACAGTGGGAGGAGCTTTGGCAGCACAGTGGGAGGCTCTTCGTCAGCACAGTGGGAGGAGCTTTGGCAGCACAGTGGGAGGCTCTTCGTCAGCACAGTGGGAGGAGCTTTGGCAGCACAGTGGGAGGTTTTTTGGCAGCAAAGTGGGAGGAGCTTGTGGTTGTCAGCACGGTGGGAGGAGCTAAATCACTATTTAGCAGCTTTGTAGCTTTGTAGCATAGCAGCTCTGTAGTGTAGTGTCTGCTATTATAACTTCTACATATACAGCATGTATCTTCAAAATGTGTTGGGAACATTTGGGTCAAATGGTAGAAGCAGCTGACTCTAATGATCCTTTACTCAGTCATCAGGCAGACATGTGAGCAGCACTGATGTTAGGACAATGTACATGGCTGTCCTTAATGTATGGTTTGCTTTTACTGGATCTTGTGACTGTGTCTTATGACTTCTTCAACTAAACTATAAGATCCTAGTCCTCTGTGTGTGCGGGGTCAGTCATGCCATCCTCATTCTCGGAGCTGACCCAGGCTGAAAGCGCTGAATTGGACTTGATGTATTCTGATTATGCCATTAAAACTCTTTCTTTAATACATAACTCAGAGTGCATTCCTTCTCCAACACTATACTGGTTTTTGCGGGAAACCCCATCTTCTGCTGATGAGAAGATACAACAGTAGCTTAGCAGATTTGTAGCTTTGTAGCTTAGCAGCTTTGTAGCTTTGTAGCTTTGTAACGGCTGTGTCCCCCTCTCTGAAAGTGGACTTTTCTGCCTGAGTTTACCAGTGAACCAGGGTTTGTCGTTCTTGTAAATGATCCTGGTCCTTTTTGGAACGATGCTATCTTTGCAGAAGTTAATGTATGACGTCAGAGTGTCTGTGCGGTCGTCTAAACCTTCTGTGCTCCTCCACTGCCTCTTCAGTCTAACCCTAACTCAGGTTCAACTACAGGTTCAGAGAGTCTAAGTAGGGATCGGATGGATCTTTGTTCCAGCTCCAGTCCTGGATCCGCTTGTTGAGCCACGTCTCTGTGAAGCAGAGGACGCAGGAAGTGGAGAATTTGGTCTATCTTGTTGTTTAGTGAGCGGATGTTGGAGGAAGATCCCAGGCCATATGCGAGCAGCGTCTCCTCAGTCTCGAGGCTACGTCACTCACATTTTCTTTTCAAATCTCCCTCCAAATGGGCGTAGCCTGGAGGACTAAAGGGGACAGGCGGGGGGTGAATGTTGGGCGGGTCTGGGCTGTGATTGACACTTGACAATAAAAGCAATAGTGACTAAAACTACAATATTCAACAACAACGCTATTAACACTACACAATTATCAATAATACCAACAGCTATGCCTGCCTAAAAATGCTATAACTAATTTCAAACCTGACAATCGATGAAAATACTCTCTGCTATTCCTTCCTTCCTTCGCTAGGGGGGCGTGAACAAGACTGGGCCGTTCACGCTCACAGGGCAGCAGGGCAAGTATCACTGCTGCACCAATGTTGGCACCAGATTCAAAATTAAAATGTAGTATATACAGGTCGCCTGCAGATGGCGCCTCACTGACGGTTTTAGGCAGAAAATTGATCTTTCAACAAATTTTCAACAAAGTGACAAAATTATAAATGGACACAAATGTACGCAACACTATTGGACCCTCATTTATACCGTTTATCAGGAAAACAAGTGGATTTGAGGGTGAGTTGTCCTTTAAACATGAACCAAATAAGCAGGAAAACAGAAGGTAGCTCCATGGGGATGGTGGGTCTGATATTAAGAAGCTCCTCATGGGTGTAGGAGCAGGCAGAGATGCTATTAATGAGTATAATCAACAATGTGCAAAAGACAGAAGTGTGCAACATGTAAAGGTAAAATATATGGTCTGAACTGATACTTTTGCACGTGGATGTTTGCACGTGGATGGCGTGACCATAGAATAACAGAACCGGGAAGCGCGGAGAGGACGAGACTTTCTTTTGGATGGCTGTTTCACTGTCTGAGCAGTAACCGCTAACAAAGACACAGGAAGTTTCAGGTTAGCCTCCGCCTCTTGTTGTGCTAACTCACCTGTCTTTGCTAACCAGAGACCTGTAGCTTTACTCAAGAAAGTGGGGGCCAGCAGTCCGCTGTGATTGGTCACAATCGGGACCCGAAACACATTCTCTTCCTTGTTTCATGAAAACTCGATCTAAAATACAATATCACGCAGGCACAAACCTGCGCTACTTTTTCTTCAAAAGGATGTATATCCCAGTGCACTGCATGGATATGGATTGCATTTTTTTAATGAATACGAAAATAAAGTCAGTTAGTGCAGCTTTAATGTGAACCCAGGTATTTGAAGCTGTCACCAGCTCTTTACTTATTTACAGATTAATGACATTTACAGGCTCAGCAGTTCTCATTGTACAGTCCAACAGCAGCAGGAAAGAAAGACCTGCGGAGCTTCTCCTTCACACATCGAGGGTGAATTAGTCTGTCACTGAAGCTGCTCTCCAGAGCAGACAGAGTGTCCTGCAGGGGGCGACAGTCATGGTCTGGATGTTAGTTTGTCCAGGACCCTCCTGTCCCCCACCTGCTGCACTGTGTCCAGGGAACAGCCCAGGACTGATTTGGACATCCTGATGTTCCAGCTTCTTCCCTCTCTCTGATGCTGCTGCTCCAGCAGACCACACCATGCACTGATGCCACCACAGAGTCATAGAAGGTCTTTAGGAGTGGCCCCTGCACTCCGAAAGACCTAAGCCTCCTCAGTAGTAGAGCCTCCTCAGCAGTAGATACTCCTCAGCAGGTAGAGTTTGTGTTTTGAGTCCAGTCCAGTTTGTGGTTCAGATGAACACCCAGGAACTTGTAGTCCACTCTCTCATTGTCCTTTCCCTGGATGTTCACTGGAGCTGGAGCGTTAGAGTGATGTCTGCAAAAATCCACCACCATCTCTTTGGTCTCCTATTGATGAGGAGGTGGTTCATCTCTTTGGTCTCCTGTTGATGAGGAGGTGGTTCATCTCCTTGGTCTCCTGTTGATGAGGAGGTGGTTCATCTTTTTTGTCTCCTGTTGATGAGGAGGTGGTTCATCTCCTCGGTCTCCTGTTGATGAGGAGGTGGTTCATCTTTTTTGTCTCCTGTTGATGAGGAGGTGGTTCATCTCTTTGGTCTCCTGTTGATGAGGAGGTGGTTCATCTCCTTGGTCTCCTGTTGATGAGGAGGTGGTTCATCTTTTTTGTCTCCTGTTGATGAGGAGGTGGTTCATCTCTTTGGTCTCCTGTTGATGAGGAGGTGGTTCATTTCCTTGATCTCCTGTTGATGAGGAGGTGGTTCATCTTTTTTGTCTCCTGTTGATGAGGAGGTGGTTCATCTCTTTGGTCTCCTGTTGATGAGGAGGTGGTTCATCTCTTTGGTCTCCTATTGATGAGGAGGTGGTTCATCTCTTTGGTCTCCTGTTGATGAGGAGGTGGTTCATCTCCTTGGTCTTCAGTTGATGAGGAGGTGGTTCATCTCCTCGGTCTCCTGTTGATGAGGAGGTAGTTCATCTTTTTTGTCTCCTGTTGATGAGGAGGTGGTTCATCTTTTTTGTCTCCTGTTGATGAGGAGGTGGTTCATCGCTTTGGTCTCCTGTTGATGAGGAGGTGGTTCATCTCCTTGGTCTTCCTCACGTTGATGAGGAGGTGGTTCATCTCCTTGCTCTTCCCCACGTTGATGAGGAGGTGGTTTATCTCCTTGGTCTCCTGTTGATGATGAGGTGGTTCATCTCCTTGGTCTTCCTCGCGTTTATGAGGAGGTGGTTCATCTCCTTGGTCTCCTGTTGATGATGAGGTGGTTCATCTCCTTGGTCTTCCCCACGTTGATGAGGAGGTGGTTCATCTCCTTGGTCTTCCTCGCGTTGATGAGGAGGTGGTTCATCTCCTTGGTCTTCCTCGCGTTGATGAGGAGGTGGTTCATCTCCTTGCTCTTCCCCACGTTGATGAGGAGGTGGTTTATCTCCTTGGTCTCCTGTTGATGATGAGGTGGTTCATCTCCTTGGTCTTCCTCGCGTTGATGAGGAGGTGGTTCATCTCCTTGGTCTCCTGTTGATGATGAGGTGGTTCATCTCCTTGGTCTTCCCCACGTTGATGAGGAGGTGGTTCATCTCCTTGGTCTTCCTCGCGTTGATGAGGAGGTGGTTTATCTCCTTGGTCTTCCCCACGTTGATGAGGAGGTGGTTCATCTCCTTGGTCTTCCTCACGTTGATGAGGAGGTGGTTTATCTCCTTGGTCTTCCTCACGTTGATGAGGAGGTGGTTTATCTCCTTGGTCTTCCCCACGTTGATGAGGAGGTGGTTCATCTCCTTGGTCTTCCTCACGTTGATGAGGAGGTGGTTCATCTCCTTGGTCTTCCTCACGTTGATGAGGAGGTGGTTCATCTCCTTGGTCTTCCTCGCGTTGATGAGGAGGTGGTTCATCTCCTTGGTCTTCCTCACGTTGATGAGGAGCTGGTTCATCTCCTTGGTCTTCCCTGCGTTGATGAGGAGGTGGTTCCTTTCCTTGGTCTCCTGTTGATGAGGAGGTGGTTCATCTCCTTGGTCTTCCCCACGTTGATGAGGAGGTGGTTCCTTTCCTTGGTCTCCTGTTGATGAGGAGGTGGTTCATCTCCTTGGTCTTCCCCACGTTGATCCTCGGAGCTGAGCCCGATGATGGCAGAGTCGTCCGAGAACTTCTGGAGTACACAGTTGTCCATGTTGTGTCTGAAGTCCGCAGTGTAGAGGGTGAAGAGGAACGGTGCGAGGACTGTCCCCTGGGGGACTCCCCACACTGTCGGTCAGCATGTCGGACGCATTCCGTCAACGGAGGGTGCAACGGACGCGGACGGACGAAACAGAAACAATCCTATTTGTTGTGTCGGGTCCGTTTACCATTGAAAATGAAATGGAATAATATGTTTACCACATTATTAAACATATATTGATATATGTTGTAGTCCTTGGTTATAAGTATTTCTTAATAACAATGATTATTAACAAAAGTGAGTAATATTGTATCATGTATTAAATTGAAATAATTGTTTCCTGATTGTACATCTACCATTTATTTTTCGCCTAATGTTAATACGCTAATCTTTACATACACCTCGCTCTGTCCCCTCTACCTCCGAGGCGCTCTCTCCTCACCGCCCTGCTCCCATCAGAGCTGCACTTATGAGAGACAGATCTCACTACACTGGAGTTGTTGGAGTTCTTTTCTCTTTTCTCTCTCCCCTTTTTCCAATTGCTTTCAATAAGTTTTGCCTCATCCATTGCAGCGTCCTCGATGCTTCAATATGCCGTGATTTGCATTGATCATAGCCACAGCTCATGCACATCACACACCGCCTCTTCTAATTAAAACAATTCCTCACGGGGTGCTGTTAAACTCACTATTCCGTTTTACAGACGTCTGACGGCCAGCAGCCAATGCCCGGTGGAGTCCAGGCCTTAGTCCGAGAAGCTGTTCCCGGGTGTAAACAATGGGACATGTGTTGTTATGCTTGTCCCATGGCAAAGAATAATCCAGAAGTGCCAAAACATATCAAGTCCAGGGAAAAGGAGTCCAGTCCCATTGTCTGTTTCATGGTACGATGACGGGATCTCTGAGCCTGGCCTCCTCCATCTGCACCTGCGGACTGCCCCGCCCGACCCGCCTGGGAGTGCTTCAGTCCTGCACCGGACCTGTCCACGTTCAGCGGCCACTGGTCCACGTCCTGTAGCTAGCTTAGGTCCTGGATCATTAGCCTGTCCGTCCGGAGGAGCGGATCCCTTTCTCAAATGGGTCTTCCTCCCTGTGGGTTTCCCTAGTTCTCCCCAAGGTTTCTCACTTTTTCCCACTGGGTTTTTTAAGAGTTGTTCCTTGTGGATGCAGGAGGGTCTTGTTGGACAGTTAGTGTCCAACAGAAAGGATTGGTGATGATCAGGACACTTTAGCATTCTACAACATGTATGGACATTTTCTTCTATGTGTGCTTTATATTCTTCATGTGTTTTAACTGTTGATTCTCTGACCTGTGTTGGTGATTTCAATGGTTTTGTTAAGTCCTCTGAGATGACTTCTGTGGTGACCTAGGGCTATACAAGAATAAATTGTATTGTGTAATTGTAAAAGTCCAGCAAGACTAGGCTTCCCATGTGCACAAATGTACAATGTATCGCCTACTTTAAAGAATAAAAAAAGGAACCACATCAACAAGAAATAAATGGAGAAAAGGTAAGAAAGAGGGGGAGAGCCAAGTGACTAGCAGCACAGCGGGGACTAGCGCCGGAAGTAATCTGTGGCCTCTGTATACAATCTGTGTTAGCATTAGCCTCTGTATACAATCTGTGTTAGCATTAGCCTCTGCATACGCCTCTGTATACAATCTGTGTTAGCATTAGCCTCTGTATACAGTCCAACCCTAACCCTAACCCATGTCCAGAACAGAACCATATTCTCCAGGACTTCTGTTGGGATCCCAGGGAGCAGGATCAGCACACTTACATAAATCTAAAATACATCATTGGTTTGTGAGCCGCCAGCTGTTCCACTGACCCCCCCCTCCTCTAACCCCTCCCTCCTCTGTCTACTTTACATAACCGCGCCACCATCAGAACAAAGCTTTCCTGTAGTTATGTCACATATATTTTAGAGGACTTTACAGCCATTAGAGAGTTCATCCAACCCCTGTCCCAAAGAGGCAGATAGTGACTCACTGGGCTCTTTCTCACGCAACACATTTTCTTTAAGTCTCAGGTGAAAAAAGTTCGTTCATCGTTGATCTTCCACTTTGAATTTTTTCTTTGAGCCTTGGATCTGTACGAATCTCACGTACTACAGACACAGATGTACTACAGACACAGATGTACTACAGACACAGATGTACTACAGACACAGATGTACTACAGACACAGATGTACCACAGACACAGATGTACTACAGACACAGATGTACTACAGACACAGATGTACTACAGACACAGATGTACTACAGACACAGATGTACTACAGACACAGATGTACCACAGACACAGATGTACTACAGACACAGATGTACTACAGACACAGATGTACCACAGACACAGATGTACCACAGACACAGATGTACTACAGACACAGATGTACCACAGACACAGATGTACCACAGACACAGATGTACTACAGACACAGATGTACCACAGACACAGATGTACCACAGACACAGATGTACTACAGACACAGATGTACTACAGACACAGATGTACCACAGACACAGATGTACCACAGACACAGATGTACTACAGACACAGATGTACCACAGACACAGATGTACCACAGACACAGATGTACCACAGACACAGATGTACTACAGACACAGATGTACTACAGACACAGATGTACTACAGACACAGATGTACCACAGACACAGATGTACCACAGACACAGATGTACTACAGACACAGATGTACCACAGACACAGATGTACCACAGACACAGATGTACTACAGACACAGATGTACCACAGACACAGATGTACCACAGACACAGATGTACTACAGACACAGATGTACTACAGACACAGATGTACTACAGACACAGATGTACCACAGACACAGATGTACTACAGACACAGATGTACTACAGACACAGATGTACTACAGACACAGATGTACCACAGACACAGATGTACCACAGACACAGATGTACCACAGACACAGATGTACTACAGACACAGATGTACTACAGACACAGATGTACCACAGACACAGATGTACCACAGACACAGATGTACCACAGACACAGATGTACTACAGACACAGATGTACCACAGACACAGATGTACCACAGACACAGATGTACCACAGACACAGATGTACCACAGACACAGATGTACCACAGACACAGATGTACTACAGACACAGATGTACCACAGACACAGATGTACCACAGACACAGATGTACCACAGACACAGATGTACCACAGACACAGATGTACCACAGACACAGATGTACCACAGACACAGATGTACCACAGACACAGATGTACCACAGACACAGATGTACTACAGACACAGATGTACCACAGACACAGATGTACTACAGACACAGATGTACCACAGACACAGATGTACCACAGACACAGATGTACCACAGACACAGATGTACCACAGACACAGATGTACCACAGACACAGATGTACCACAGACACAGATGTACCACAGACACAGATGTACCACAGACACAGATGTACCACAGACACAGATGTACTACAGACACAGATGTACCACAGACACAGATGTACCACAGACACAGATGTACTACAGACACAGATGTACCACAGACACAGATGTACTACAGACACAGATGTACCACAGACACAGATGTACTACAGACACAGATGTACCACAGACACAGATGTACTACAGACACAGATGTACCACAGACACAGATGTACCACAGACACAGATGTACCACAGACACAGATGTGTATCTGTGTATCTCCTACAGTTTCTCAAATGTGTTCGAGTTGTTCCTTTTGATCAGCTTTCACAGGTCAAAGAGTGAGAGCTCTGACTGCAGACACTGCTCCTTGTACAGCATCTGTACACAGCCTGTGTTACTCCATCACTTTCAATCTCACCTCCATCCTTCATATACTGAGAACAAGATTGGACCAGGACCTGAACCTGGACCTGGACCAGGACTTCTGCACCTGAAGAGGCCCGTGGTCCTTCTCTGGTCCAGACCCATTAGGGTGAGGGTGATAATACATGTGTCTGTTCTCATGAGGAAAAGAAAAAGCACAAATAAATAATATAATCTGAGGGGCGTCTGCAGCGGAATCCCGTGACGTCAGACTCCACCTCTCTCTACACCCCGCCCTTTTACCCCGTTTCCAGGGCAACGCCACTGACGTACTCTGGAGGGGGCGTGGTCCGTATATAAGTCTTGGAGTCTCAGTCTGAGGCGAGAGGCACGAGCGGAGATCCGTGAGTTTCACAGCGCTGCACTCGGAGCACCCGGAGAGACATACACCTGCCCCAAGCTCACGCGGACTGTCGGACCGTGGGAGAGATCCAGGGAGATCCGGAGGGATTCAGAGAGATACTGGGAGATACAGGGAGATACAGAGATCCAGAGATGGCGGTGACTGAAGCTGGATGCGACCTTACCTACTGCAGGATGAGGGGGATCGTGGCCGTGTTGGCAGGTGAGAGCGTGCGTGTGTGTGCGTGTGTGTGTGTGTGTGTGTGTGCGTGTGTGTGTGTTTAATTATCACATAGAGTTAACCCTGACACCGATGTAAATGCTCAGTCATCGCGAACATAGACGTTCATTAGTCGGTTACTCAGATCGGAAACTGGTCCCATGATGATCGTGAGGACTCTAAACATCTGAAGTCTTTATGCACATGCGCAGAACCTGGTGTTACTACACGACATGTATCCTACACACATCACATGTATCCTATTACAAGTACACTCCAGAACTATGGGCTGACTGTGGAATGTCCTCGCGCTCTGTTGAGGCTGCTGACTCCTGGCGGGGGTTTGTGAGTGGGTGACCTCGGGAAAGTTGCGTAACGAGAAAATCCGCAGTGAAAGATCTGTGCCGCTCGTGCTCTAGAAACAGGTTTGAAACCGGATTAAGGCATATATATATATAAATAACATATATATATTAGGCACATGCCAGACCTATACTGTACATGTTATTAATGCTATATAGGGGAAACCGGAATTCCACTCATAAAAGGCCTTATTCTGAACGGGATTTGAACCCAGGACCTATGTTTTATATATTATGTTATATATATGTTATATATATATATACATATGTTATTTATATTAGTTCATTCATTCATTCATTCATTTTCTTCCCCTTTATTAGTCCACTTCTGGGTTGGGGGGAGGGGGTGGCAATGAGAGCTGCCACCTAATGCTCATAGCACCAGTTCTTGATGATCCTCTGCAGGTGGTGGGTCCACAGGAAGATGTTATTTATATGTTATATATATTATACATATGTTATATATATTATACATATTAATATTAAGATTAAGAAATCCTTTATTCGTCCCACAGTTGGGAAATTTCATATGTTATACATATGTGGTCTCCTTGGTCTTCCCCGCGTTGAGGAGGCCTGTGGTGTCTTGGGGGCACTGGTACCACACATATTATGTACAATAAAAAGTGGCAATTCAAAAGTGGCAATCAAGAAACAGTGTCAATTCAATCTGAAGAGACCAAGACAGAAACATTAATGCATGAAAAAGATTTATTTGATTGGCGCATTGACCTCGGCAGTGACACTTGCAGAGGGGAGATCGTCTGCTGCTGTAGATTATCTCAGACCCTCCAGGGTCAAGCACTGGTGGTGGCTAGAAGCATGGTGTGAATGGGGCGCAGGCGGAGCAGGAGCCAGAGCAGGAGCCAGAGCAGGAGCCAGAGCAGGAGCCAGAGCAGGAGCCAGAGCAGGAGCCAGAGCAGGAGCCAGAGCAGGAGCCAGAGCAGGAGCCAGAGCAGGAGCCAGAGCAGGAGCCAGAGCAGGAGCCAGAGCAGGAGCCAGAGCAGGAGCCAGAGCAGGAGCCAGAGCAGGAGCCAGAGCAGGAGCCAGAGCAGGAGCCAGAGCAGGAGCCAGAGCAGGAGCCAGAGCAGGAGCCAGAGCAGGAGCCAGAGCAGGAGCCACAGCAGGAGCCACAGCAGGAGCCAGAGCGGAAACCCGAGTAGGAACCAGGAGCTGAGGAGGTGCTGGGGAGGTGGTGGGTGTTAAAGGAATAGGCCACCGTTTTTACATACTGACATATGTCCTTACCTTTAGACTAGTTGATACAGTATGTACCTGTGTGGTCTGTGTCCGTGTGCTCTGTCATGCAAACAGAGCACAAACGCAGCCTCTTCCACAGACTGTATAGTTCCAAATCAACTCCCGTTAGAAGCTACCAAACTCTTCCACGTGTTCCCTTTAAACACAGTTACGTGACGTGTTACAGTGCAAAGTATAGTAACACAGAAATGTAACATGTCGATTTTCTCAGCGGATAAAAAGGGGAACTATATTGTGAGGCGTAATAATACGAGGAGCACTACGTCCGCGCACTAACTAAAGACTTCTCTCCCGCTCACGCTGCTTCTATTGACGGAAGTTGATAGGACGGGAGTTGATTTGGAACTATACAGTCTGTGGAAGAGGCTGCGTTTGTGCTCTGTTTGCATGACAGAGGGCACGGACACAGACCAGACAGGTACATACTGTATCAACTAGTCTAAAGGTAAGGACATATGTCAGTATGTAAAAACAGTGGCCTATTCCTTTAAGAGCTTCAGGAAACGCTGTTTATCGGGGAGTGGCTGCTTTTAAACTGCCGGCTTTGCTGTCTGTGGGTTGGCAAGAGGCTGGCAGAGCTGTGTGATTGGCTGAGGCTGGAGGCTGGCAGAGCTGTGTGATTGGCTGAGGCTGGAGGCTGGCAGAGCTGTGTGATTGGCTGAGGCTGGAGGCTGGCAGCGCTGTGTGATTGGCTGAGGCTGGAGGCTGGCAGAGCTGTGTGATTGGCTGAGGCTGGAGGCTGGCAGAGCTGTGTGATTGGCTGAGGCTGGAGGCTGGCAGAGCTGTGTGATTGGCTGAGGCTGGAGGCTGGCAGAGCTGTGTGATTGGACGGGTGAGAGCCGTGGCCTGTCTTTCAGTCTGAATTAGCGCTTCAGCTTCATTAGTAGTGCAGGTTTTTTAGTCCTAATGCAGTGACTTAAGTGGCTTGTTGTACAGTCTGACAGCAGTGGGGATAAAGGCCCTGCTCCTTCTTGCACTGAGGGGGCCTCAGTGCAAGAAGGAGCTCCTCTACAGTCCTGTGCAGTGGGAGGTGTTGTTCATGATGGAGGAGACTTTGACCAGCACCTCCTGTCCCTCACCTCCTCCACAGAGTCCAGGGGCCTCCTGTCCCTCACCTCCTCCACAGAGTCCAGGGGCCTCCTGTCCCTCACCTCCTCCACAGAGTCCAGGGGCCTCCTGTCCCTCACCTCCTCCACAGAGTCCAGGGGCCTCCTGTCCCTCACCTCCTCCACAGAGTCCAGGGGCCTCCTGTCCCTCACCTCCTCCACAGAGTCCAGGGGCCTCCTGTCCCTCACCTCCTCCACAGAGTCCAGGGGCCTCCTGTCCCTCACCTCCTCCACAGAGTCCAGGGGCCTCCTGTCCCTCACCTCCTCCACAGAGTCCAGGGGCCTCCTGTCTCTCACCTCCTCCGCAGAGTCCAGGGGCCTCCTGTCCCACTCTGTGCTGCCTGGGGCCCAGCACACGGCAGTGTAATATATGGCAAAGGCTACCACAGAGTCATAAAAAGTTTTGAGCAGAGGCCTGCTCACTCCGAAGGACCTCAGCCTCCTCAGAGGGACCTCAGCCTCCTCAGGAGGACCTCAGCCTCCTCAGAGGGACCTCAGCCTCCTCAGGAGGACCTCAGCCTCCTCAGAGGGACCTCAGCCTCCTCAGAGGGACCTCAGCCTCCTCAGAGGGACCTCAGCCTCCTCAGAGGGACCTCAGCCTCCTCAGAGGGACCTCAGCCTCCTCAAAAGGACCTCAGCCTCCTCAGAAGGACCCCAGCCTCCTCAGAGGGACCTCAGCCTCTTCAGAAGGACCTCAGCCTCCTCAGAGGGACCTCAGCCTCCTCAGAGGGACCTCAGCCTCTTCAGAAGGACCTCAGCCTCCTCAGAAGGACCTCAGCGTCCTCAGGAGGACCTCAGCCTCCTCAGAAGTACCTCAGCCTCCTCAGAAGGACCTCAGCCTCCTCAGAAGGACCTCAGCCTCCTCAGAAGGACCTCAGCCTCCTCAGAAGGACCTCAGCCTCCTCAGAAGGACCCCCGCCTCCTCAGAAGGACCTCAGCCTCCTCAGAAGGACCTCAGCCTCCTCAGAAGGACCTCAGCCTCCTCAGAAGGACCTCAGCCTCCTCAGAAGGACCTCAGCCTCCTCAGAAGGACCTCAGCCTCCTCAGGAGGACCTCAGCCTCCTCAGAAGGACCTCAGCCTCCTCAGAAGGACCTCAGCCTCCTCAGAAGGACCTCAGCCTCCTCAGAAGGACCTCAGCTTCCTCAGAAGGACCTCAGCCTCCTCAGAAGGACCTCAGCCTCCTCAGAAGGACCTCAGCCTCCTCAGAAGGACCTCAGCCTCCTCAGAAGGACCTCAGTCTCCTCAGAAGGACCTCAGCCTCCTCAGAAGGACCTCAGCCTCCTCAGAAGGACCTCAGCCTCCTCAGAAGGACCTCAGCCTCCTCAGGAGGACCTCAGCCTCCTCAGAAGGACCTCAGCCTCCTCAGAAGGACCTCAGCCTCCTCAGAAGGACCTCAGCCTCCTCAGGAGGACCTCAGCCTCCTCAGAAGGACCTCAGCCTCCTCAGAAGGACCTCAGCCTCCTCAGAAGGACCTCAGTCTCCTCAGAAGGACCTCAGCCTCCTCAGAAGGACCTCAGCCTCCTCAGAAGGTCCTCAGCCTCCTCAGAAGGACCTCAGCCTCCTCAGAAGGACCTCAGCCTCCTCAGAAGGACCTCAGCCTCCTCAGAAGGACCTCAGCCTCCTCAGAAGGACCTCAGCCTCCTCAGAAGGAAGAGGCGACTTTGGCCCTTCTTGTGCAGGGCGTTTGTATTATGGACCAGTCCAGTTTATTGTTAATGTGAACACCCAGGTACTTGAAGGTGTCACCAGCTCAATGTCCTCCCCCTGGATGTTCAGCAGCGTGTGGGAAAGTGGTTTTCTCCTGAAGTCGATGATCATCTCCTTGGTCTTACTGGTGTTAGCACAGGTACCATCTCCTTGGTCTTACTGGTGTTAGCACAGGTACCATCTCCTTGGTCTTACTGGTGTTAGCACAGGTACCATCTCCTTGGTCTTACTGGTGTTAGCACAGGTACCATCTCCTTGGTCTTACTGGTGTTAGCACAGGTACCATCTCCTTGGTCTTACTGGTGTTAGCACAGGTACCATCTCCTTGGTCTTACTGGTGTTAGCACAGGTACCATCTCCTTGGTCTTACTGGTGTCAGCACAGGTACCATCTCCTTGGTCTTACTGGTGTTAGCACAGGTACCATCTCCTTGGTTTTACTGGTGTTGAAGCACAAGTGGTTGCGCTCACACCAGTCGACAAAGTCTGTGATAACCGACCGATATTCCAGTTGGTGGAGTCTGGTGGTGGGAGAGAGCTGAGAGGACCATGGTGTGACCCTGTCTGGGGGAGGACCATGGTGTGACCCTGTCTGGGGGAGGACCATGGTGTGACCCTGTCTGGGGGAGGACCATGGTGTGACCCTGTCTGGGGGAGGACCATGGTGTGACCCTGTCTGGGGGAGGACCATGGTGTGACCCTGTCTGGGGGAGGACCATGGTGTGACCCTGTCTGGGGGAGGACCATGGTGTGACCCTGTCTGGGGGAGGACCATGGTGTGACCCTGTCTGGGGGAGGACCATGGTGTGACCCTGTCTGGGGGAGGACCATGGTGTGACCCTGTCTGGGGGAGGACCATGGTGTGACCCTGTCTGGGGGAGGACCATGGTGTGACCCTGTCTGGGGGGCATTGTTCTCCAACAGCAGAGCAGGGGGTGGGGTGGGTAGTTGGTTGAGGGCCTGTGCATGTAACTACAGCCTAAGCTGCAATTGTATTACTGACCTTTATTAATTAGGGAAGTCCCTCAGATAGAGAGAAAGAGAGGTAACCGTAGCTCCTGGAGGAAACCTACAGATACAGGATGAACATACTGTGTTTGACTGATGTTTTTTCTGCAGCGTTTATCAAAGAACGAAAAATCGGCCTCAACGACTTCATCCACAAACTGGTGTCTACACCTCACATCTGCCAACAGTGAGTCCACAGACCTGGCCAAACTGGACCAGACCAGACCAGACCAGACCGGACCAGAAAGACCAGAGAGACCAGGGATCACAGACCTGAGACCCTGGTCTGTGGTCCTTGTCTACAGGGTTAGAGATGATCTCTTTAAAGAAGCTATACCCAATTTTTTTTCTAAGTAGTTGATAAAAATACTTATTACTACATACAAGTTGTACTATAATCCGTAATTTAATTGAAAACTTGAGGTAATTGATTCAGCGGTGTAAGAATTAAAAGCAGTGAAAAGTGCTGAGCAGAGTCTGAGCGGGACGTTCTCCTTCACTCACAGAACCAGCAGCGAACAGCCTGTGTCCTCTAGTCTCTACAGCCTGTGTCCTCTAGTCTCTACAGCCTGTGTCCTCTAGTCTCTACAGCCTGTGTCCTCTAGTCTCTACAGCCTGTGTCCTCTAGTCTCTACAGCCTGTGTCCTCTAGTCTCTACAGCCTGTGTCTTCTAGTCTCTACAGCCTGTGTCCTCTAGTCTCTACAGCCTGTGTCCTCTAGTCTCTACAGTCTGTGTCCTCTAGTCTCTACAGCCTGTGTCCTCTAGTCTCTACAGCCTGTGTCCTCTAGTCTCTACAGCCTGTGTCCTCTAGTCTCTACAGCCTGTGTCCTCTAGTCTCTACAGCCTGTGTCCTCTAGCCTCTATAGCCTGTGTCCTCTAGTCTCTACAGCCTGTGTCCTCTAGTCTCTACAGCCTGTGTCCTCTAGTCTCTACAGCCTGTGTCCTCTAGTCTCTACAGCCTGTGTCCTCTAGTCTCTACAGCCTGTGTCCTCTAGTCTCTACAGCCTGTGTCCTCTAGTCTCTACAGCCTGTGTCCTCTAGTCTCTACAGCCTGTGTCCTCTAGTCTCTACAGCCTGTGTCCTCTAGTCTCTACAGTCTGTGTCCTCTAGTCTCTACAGCCTGTGTCCTCTAGTCTCTACAGCCTGTGTCCTCTAGTCTCTACAGCCTGTGTCCTCTAGTCTCTACAGCCTGTGTCCTCTAGTCTCTACAGCCTGTGTCCTCTAGTCTCTACAGTCTGTGTCCTCTAGTCTCTACAGCCTGTGTCCTCTAGTCTCTACAGCCTGTGTCCTCTAGTCTCTACAGCCTGTGTCCTCTAGTCTCTACAGCCTGTGTCCTCTAGTCTCTACAGCCTGTGTCCTCTAGTCTCTACAGCCTGTGTCCTCTAGTCTCTACAGCCTGTGTCCTCTAGTCTCTACAGCCTGTGTCCTCTAGTCTCTACAGCCTGTGTCCTCTAGTCTCTACAGCCTGTGTCCTCTAGTCTCTACAGCCTGTGTCCTCTAGTCTCTACAGCCTGTGTCCTCTAGTCTCTACAGCCTGTGTCCTCTAGTCTCTACAGCCTGTGTCCTCTAGTCTCTACAGCCTGTGTCCTCTAGCCTCTACAGCCTGTGTCCTCTAGCCTCTACAGCCTGTGTCCTCTAGTCTCTACAGCCTGTGTCCTCTAGTCTCTACAGCCTGTGTCCTCTAGTCTCTACAGCCTGTGTCCTCTAGTCTCTACAGCCTGTGTCCTCTAGTCTCTACAGCCTGTGTCCTCTAGTCTCTACAGCCTGTGTCCTCTAGTCTCTACAGCCTGTGTCCTCTAGTCTCTACAGCCTGTGTCCTCTAGTCTCTACAGCCTGTGTCCTCTAGTCTCTACAGCCTGTGTCCTCTAGCCTCTACAGCCTGTGTCCTCTAGTCTCTACAGCCTGTGTCCTCTAGCCTCTACAGCCTGTGTCCTCTAGTCTCTACAGCCTGTGTCCTCTAGTCTCTACAGCCTGTGTCCTCTAGCCTCTACAGCCTGTGTCCTCTAGTCTCTACAGCCTGTGTCCTCTAGTCTCTACAGCCTGTGTCCTCTAGTCTCTACAGCCTGTGTCCTCTAGTCTCTACAGCCTGTGTCCTCTAGCCTCTACAGCCTGTGTCCTCTAGCCTCTACAGCCTGTGTCCTCTAGCCTCTACAGCCTGTGTCCTCTAGTCTCTACAGCCTGCGTCCTCTAGTCTCTACAGCAGTGGTCGGCAACGTCCGGCCCGGGGGACAATTTTGGCACGTTGTCAATATTTTTTGGCCCGCGGGAAGATTTAGAAAAAAAAAAAAAAAAGAAGCTTCACAGAGACTTAATTGCTCTTTATCCGCAAATGTTTTGCCCCTAATCTTTGCTTGTGTTTGGCACAACACCATTCCACATTTGCATTTTCATTCTAAGTAGCCTAACTTCTAGGTTAAATTGTGGTTTGTCCCGATCCGTATACTTAACCTCATACAGGCGCTACAGCGCTGCTCACGCTGTGCGTAAACTGCAGGTCAAAAAGTCGCGTGCCGGCCCGTGCGACATTCACGCACTCAGAAAGGGTTGAAAAACAGTGATAGGCACATGGAGACAGCGTGGGAAACTCGTCTTGGTTACAGAGATCTTTGACAATTTGCAGCAGTCATGCAGCATCTTGTTTGAAGTTACAATATTCTTCGAAAGAGATCTTTTCAATCCGCACAATTTTATCACAAAAATGTTAATGTTAAAGTAGTCACAATGGAGAAATAAGTTGGGAAAAAGTGAAATTAAAATGAAGATGCTTTTCATAGTAGGCTACCCAACACCTAATTGTGCTTAGTGTTGAATTAAACTGCAATAAAATCCTCGCCAAATACGCTGATAATAAACATAAAAGAGCAAAGCTTTTGTCAAAGGATTAAATTCTTTTATTTTTTCATTCTAGCATATTCACATGCATGGCCTTTGGAATTAACTGAACCAAATAACTTTTTTTCTTGAAAGTAGAATTAAACGAAAGCTGAACAATATTAAAGCACTCGCTGAAAATCACGAGGACGTATTGGCGATATAGATGAAAAATAACAAACGCAATAGTTGCTCTGCAGGATGAACTGGGACCCTAAAAACATACAATAATTACAATTAGTAATGGATTATAAATTACAATTATTTGCGTTGTATGGCTATTAAACTTACTCAATGGGAATACTGAAATTTTCCCTCTTCCACGATCTTTTTGAAGTCGGGCGTTAACGACGTGACTTTCAGGCGCAGGGCATTTTCCAGGTTATTGTGTGTCAGTCTGTTTCTTTCATGGGTTTTTATTGCATTCATTGAAGAAAATGTTGATTCACACGTGTAGGTTGACGGGAACATTGTCAGCACATAAAAAGCGAGCTTCTTAACCTCACTATAATCTTCAGGGCAGGAGAGCCAGAACGTACACAGGGACTGCGCATTTTGGAGAGCTGTGCGCACTTGGAACGATGTATGAAACTCTGTCAGCTGCAGTTCAAATGTTGCCTCGTCTAGTGATGGTAGTGCTTTCTTCACGATTGTAGAGAACTCAGGGTTTGCTTGGACACTTAATGGATCACGCACAAACGCAAATATTTCTTTTGGGCAAGAGTATTCCTCAAATCTCGAAAGGAATTCTTCCCGCACATGTCTGACAAAATTCACCATCGCTTCTGTCACTTGTTTTGGCGCGTGCCTTTTTAATGTCGGAAAATGCAGGAGTCGTTTGGATGTCATGTCTGTCTCAAACAGTTCTAGCTTCTTGATAAACGACTCCAACTTCTCTACCATGTTCACAATTATTTTCCCTCGCCCTTGTAGTTGCAGATTGAGCTGGTTGAGGTGGCCAAATATATCGGTCAAAAAAGCAACATTGGCCATGAATGTTTTGTCCTCAAGCTGTGCAAGATGCTCCGCAGCAGTTGCATTATTTTTCATTTGAAGAAAGGTTTTAATCTCAGTGAGAAGTGCGCACATGCGTTCTAACGCTCTCCCCTTGCTTAACCAGCGCACATCGTTGTGCAGCAGCAAATCACCATGGCTTGCTTCTTCTGACTCGGTCACTAGTTGCCTGAAAATACGGTGTTGGGTGGTTGATGTTCCTCGGATATAATTAATGATGCGCATGACTTTGTCCATGACTGTCTTAAGCTCTCCACTCAGCTTTGCGCACAGCACACTTTGGTGGATAAGGCAATGGAGTGCCTGAATGTTAGGAGCAACTTCCTTGAGTCTGCTCACCAAACCTCTTCGCTTTCCAACCATAGATGGAGCGCCGTCTGTCACAATAAAATTAACCTTCTCAAGGGGTAACGAATTTACCCTAAACTGCTCCTCGAGTTTGGCAAACAGTATGTCCCCAGTAGTTTGACCTTCCAATGGGATGAGAAAAAGAAGTTCCTCTTGGAATGAGACTGACTTGTCATCAAAATATCGAACATAAACACACATTTGTGCCACGTCCGTCGTGTCTGTGCTTTCGTCAATAGCCAGGGAATAATGATCAGCCTTATGGAGAGCGCGCGTTATTTTCCCATGTATGTCTGAGGACAGTGCTTCAATACGCCGTACAGCAGTGCGCGCGGAGAGTGGCATCTGTTTTACAGAAGCGATCAGTGCATCAGCAGTTTTATCCGTGGACAGCTCCTGCAACACGGACACCATCACATCCTTCATAACCTCCGCGTCAGTGAAAGGCTTCACATGACGGGCCAAAATCCAGGACGCTTTAAGCGAGGCACTGGATACCTTTTCCTGTGTGGTCAGGCCTCGAACTAGGACCCTGCTGCTCCGGATATAACCGTCATAAAGAGCATCGATTTTGAGACGCCTTGACTCAGACTGAAATGGGAAGGACGCACTGAATGACCCATGTTTCGTTTCATGATGTCGCCGAATATTGTACTCTTTGCACACGGAGATTACCTCGTTGCAGATGAGGCAGAGAGGTTTGGCATTCACATATCCAGGTAGGATGAAACCATATGTTTGTCTCCATTCCTCCCTGAAACTCCTGTTTTCACTGTCCACTTTTCTTTTTTGTCCTTTGGAAAGCGACATGTTTGTGATGCTAACTTTATTTTTTTGCTAGTGCTGTGTAACCCGCGAAAATCAGACAGACTCGGGGATAGTATTGTTTCAAACAATATTTTATTTTTAAATGAAAAAAAATATGTATAGTTTGGGGTTATCTAGTATTGAATATCCATGCATGAATACATTTTATTTTTTTATCAATTGACCGGTTGGCCCGCCACCTATCGGCGTAAAAAAATATTGGCCCGAAGCCAAGCCAACTTGCCGACCCCTGCTCTACAGCCTGCGTCCTCTAGTCTCTACAGCCTGCGTCCTCTAGTCTCTACAGCCTGTGTCCTCTAGTCTCTACAGCCTGCGTCCTCTAGTCTCTACAGCCTGTGTCCTCTAGTCTCTACAGCCTGTGTCCTCTAGTCTCTACAGCCTGCGTCCTCTAGTCTCTACAGCCTGTGTCCTCTAGTCTCTACAGCCTGTGTCCTCTAGTCTCTACAGCCTGCGTCCTCTAGTCTCTACAGCCTGCGTCCTCTAGTCTCTACAGCCTGTGTCCTCTAGTCTCTACAGCCTGCGTCCTCTAGTCTCTACAGCCTGCGTCCTCTAGTCTCTACAGCCTGCGTCCTCTAGTCTCTACAGCCTGCGTCCTCTAGTCTCTACAGCCTGTGTCCTCTAGTCTCTACAGCCTGTGTCCTCTAGCCTCTACAGCCTGCGTCCTCTAGTCTCTACAGCCTGTGTCCTCTAGTCTCTACAGCCTGTGTCCTCTAGTCTCTACAGCCTGCGTCCTCTAGTCTCTACAGCCTGTGTCCTCTAGTCTCTACAGCCTGCGTCCTCTAGTCTCTACAGCCTGTGTCCTCTAGTCTCTACAGCCTGCGTCCTCTAGTCTCTACAGCCTGTGTCCTCTAGTCTCTACAGCCTGCGTCCTCTAGTCTCTACAGCCTGTGTCCTCTAGTCTCTACAGCCTGCGTCCTCTAGTCTCTACAGCCTGTGTCCTCTAGTCTCTACAGCCTGTGTCCTCTAGTCTCTACAGCCTGTGTCCTCTAGTCTCTACAGCCTGTGTCCTCTAGTCTCTACAGCCTGTGTCCTCTAGTCTCTACAGCCTGTGTCCTCTAGTCTCTACAGCCTGTGTCCTCTAGTCTCTACAGTCTGCGTCCTCTAGCCTCTACAGCCTGTGTCCTCTAGCCTCTACAGCCTGTGTCCTCTAGTCTCTACAGTCTGTGTCCTCTAGTCTCTACAGCCTGTGTCCTCTAGTCTCTACAGCCTGTGTCCTCTAGTCTCTACAGCCTGTGTCCTCTAGTCTCTACAGCCTGTGTCCTCTAGTCTCTACAGCCTGTGTCCTCTAGTCTCTACAGTCTGTGTCCTCTAGTCTCTACAGCCTGTGTCCTCTAGTCTCTACAGCCTGTGTCCTCTAGTCTCTACAGCCTGTGTCCTCTAGTCTCTACAGCCTGTGTCCTCTAGTCTCTACAGCCTGTGTCCTCTAGTCTCTACAGCCTGTGTCCTCTAGTCTCTACAGCCTGTGTCCTCTAGTCTCTACAGCCTGTGTCCTCTAGTCTCTACAGCCTGTGTCCTCTAGTCTCTACAGTCTGTGTCCTCTAGTCTCTACAGCCTGTGTCCTCTAGTCTCTACAGCCTGTGTCCTCTAGTCTCTACAGCCTGTGTCCTCTAGCCTCTACAGCCTGTGTCCTCTAGTCTCTACAGCCTGTGTCCTCTAGTCTCTACAGTCTGTGTCCTCTAGCCTCTACAGCCTGTGTCCTCTAGCCTCTACAGCCTGTGTCCTCTAGCCTCTACAGCCTGTGTCCTCTAGTCTCTACAGCCTGTGTCCTCTAGTCTCTACAGCCTGCGTCCTCTAGTCTCTACAGCCTGTGTCCTCTAGTCTCTACAGCCTGTGTCCTCTAGCCTCTACAGCCTGTGTCCTCTAGTCTCTACAGCCTGTGTCCTCTAGTCTCTACAGCCTGTGTCCTCTAGTCTCTACAGCCTGTGTCCTCTAGTCTCTACAGCCTGTGTCCTCTAGTCTCTACAGCCTGTGTCCTCTAGTCTCTACAGCCTGTGTCCTCTAGCCTCTACAGCCTGTGTCCTCTAGTCTCTACAGCGCTGCTAAAAACTAGGGCTTCGGCTTCGAAATTTGAATATAATTCTAAAATTAACTAAATATATATTAAACAGCCCTTAGAATTTGAAATGTATTAAATAACTGCAAATAAAATAGTTAGCTCCCAATGGTTCCACCGGGACGTGCTAGGCAGGTAACAGCTAAGCTAGCTAGCTCCCTGGAACTACATGTTAATGGTAACTTCCGGGTTTTTCGCCATCGCTTTTTGTCACATTAAAATAGTAATTTGGTCATGAAAACTTTAACAATAAATTCTGAAACAGTCCATGCATGTGTGTTAAGGATGTATTATACTGTACTGTCCGATTAACATTTAATGGTGTTGATTGATAGATATGTAGTTGTTTATTGAGCGTGGCTAGCTCCGCTAGCTTCTCTCGTGGTACTTGCAAAGTAATGGCAGTATTTTACACACCTGAATTACAAACAGAGAGTGCGTTGCCAAAGGGCTGCGGTCATTATTGGTTTGAGAGTTCTGTTATCAAGAAAAATTGATCGGTAGAATTACATTCAAGTCACTGGAGTGTTCTGCTGCTGTGAGGAGCTGTATAATAAATTATTATTAAATACTCGAATATATTCTAATGTTTTAATGAATACATTTGGATGTGAAACTAGCAGTATTCTTTTACTTATATATTTTGTTAGCAGTGCGTTGCTTGAGTACATTTCATCAGTGACATGGTACCCTAAACCTAACCCTAACCCAGCTTACAAGAAATTGCGCTAATGCTAATGTTAGCATACATTGAACTAGATGGCTCTGTGTTATGAGAGCGCAGGGGAAATGAGAAGCCATTGAGAGAGTTGGGGGCGGTGCTAAACATTCAAACTTTGCAGAAACGGGTATAGCTCCTTTAAGCTGCAGCTCAGACTGTGACCTGGACCAGAGTCTCCATCTTATCTTTTACTGAGAGCTGATTGGCTGAGGGAGGGGGTCATCTCTTTGATCTAAACATGTGACATCACAAATACATGAAACTAGAAACATGGGTTTGATACAGAGCTCTATTGGACTGAGAGTTACAGACCCCAGCTTTAAAGTCACACACCCCAGCTTTATATGTCCTGTGTTTCTCAGTGTCGAGGTGAACAACTTCCTGAAGATTGACCAGAATCCAAACAAGGAGCGGGACACGGACGAGCCTCTTGATCCTAACCCTGATCCGGTACTGATGCAGCTCTAATGGAGCTCTAATGCAGCTCTAATGGAGCTCTAATGTAGCTCTAATGTAGCTCTAATGTAGCTCTAATGCAGCTCTAATGCAGCTCTAATGTAGCTCTAATGCAGCTCTAATGTAGCTCTAATGCAGCTCTAATGTAGCTCTAATGCAGCTCTAATGTAGCTCTAATGTAGCTCTAATGTAGCTCTACTGCACCTCTAATGTAGCTCTAATGCAGCGTTAATGCAGATCTAAAGCAGCTTTAATGCAGCTCTAATGCAGCTCTAATGCAGCTCTAATGTAGCTCTAACACAGCTCTAATGCAGCTTGAATGCAGTTCTAATGTAGCTCTAAGGTAGCTCTAATGTAGATTTAATGCAGCTCTAATGCAGCTCTAATGCAGATCTAATGCAGCTTTAATGCAGCTCTAATGGATCTCTAATGGATCTCTAATGTAGCTCTAATGCAGCTCTAATGTAGCTCTAATGCAGCTCTAAGGTAGCTCTAATGTAGATTTAATGCAGCTCTAATGCAGATTTAATGTAGCTCTAATGTAGCTCTAATGTAGCTCTAATGCAGCTCTAATGCAGCTCTAATGTAGCTCTAATGCAGCTCTAATGGAGCTCTAATGCCGCTCTAATGTAGCTCTAATGCAGCTCTAATGTAGCTCTAATGCAGCTCTAATGTATCTCTAATGCAGCCCTAATGCAGCTTTAATGGAGCTCTAATGCAGCTCTAATGGAGCTCTAATGCAGCTCTAATGTAACTCTAATGCAGCTTTAATGCAGCTCTAATGGAGCTCTAATGCAGCTCTAATGTAGCTCTAATGTATCTCTAATGCAGCTCTAATGCAGCTTTAATGCAGCTCTAATGGAGTTCTAATGCAGATCTAATGGAGCTCTAATGCAGATCTAATGGTAGCTCTAATGTAGATTTAATGCAGCTCTAATGCAGATTTAATGTAGCTCTAATGTAGCTCTAATGTAGCTCTAATGCAGCTCTAATGCAGCTCTAATGTAGCTCTAATGCAGCTCTAATGGAGCTCTAATGCCGCTCTAATGTAGCTCTAATGCAGCTCTAATGTATCTCTAATGCAGCCCTAATGTAGCTCTAATGCAGCTTTAATGGAGCTCTAATGCAGCTCCAATGGAGCTCTAATGCAGCTCTAATGTAACTCTAATGCAGCTTTAATGCAGCTCTAATGGAGCTCTAATGCAGCTCTAATGTAGCTCTAATGTATCTCTAATGCAGCTCTAATGCAGCTCTAATGCAGCTCTAATGTAGCTCTAATGCAGATCTAATGCAGCTTTAATGCAGATCTAATGGAGCTCTAATGCAGCTCTAATGTAGCTCTAATGCAGCTCTAATGTATCTCTAGTGCAGTTCTAATGCAGCTCTAATGTATCTCTAATGTAGCTCTAATGTATCTCTAATGTGATGTCATTGTTCCACAGATCTGTCTGCTCTCACGCACCTCTCTGGCAGAAGACACACAGTGAGTGTTGGACCAGGACTAGACCAGGACTGAACCAGGACTGAACCAGGACTAGACCAGGACTAGACCAGGACTAGACCAGGACTAGACCAGGACTAGACCAGGACTAGACCAGGACTAGACCAGGACTAGACCAGGACTAGACCAGGACTAGACCAGGACTGGACCAGGATTAAACAAGGACTGGAGAAGGATTAAAGAAGGACTGGAGTAGGATTGTACCAGGACTGGATCGGGACTAAACAAGGACTGGAGCAGGACTGGACCAGGATTGGACCAGGATTGGACCAGGACTAGACCAGGACTAGACCAGGACTAGACCAGGACTAGACCAGGACTAGACCAGAACTAGACCAGAACTGAACTATATGTGAACCAGAACTGGACCAGGACTGAACCAGGACTGAACCAGGACTGAACCAGGACTGAACCAGGACTGGACCAGGACTGAACCAGGACTGGACCAGGACTGGACCAGGACTGGACCAGGACTGGACCAGGACTGGACCAGGACTGGACCAGGACTGGACCAGGACTGGACCAGGACTGGACCAGGACTGGACCAGGACTGGGACTGGACCAGGACTGGACCAGGACTGAACCAGGACTGAACCAGGACTGGACCAGGACTGAACCAGGACTGGACCAGGACTGGACCAGGACCAGGACTGGACCAGGACTGGACCAGGTCTAAACCAGGACTGGGGACTGGACCAGGACTGGACCAGGACTGACTGGCCAGGACTGGGCCAGGACTGGGCCAGGTCTAAACCAGGACTGGACCAGGACTAAACCAGAACTAGACCAGGACTGAACCATATCTGAACCAGGACTGAACCAGGACTGGACCAGGACTAAACATATTTCAATCTGAAGAGACCAAGACAGAAACATTAATGCATGAAAAAGATTTATTTGATTGGCGCATTGACCTCGGCAGTGACACTTGCAGAGGGGAGATCGTCAGCTGCTGTAGATGATCTCAGACCCTCCGGGGTCAAGCACTGGTGGTGGCTAGAAGCATGGTGTGAATGTGACGTAGGTGGAGCAGGAGCCAGAGCAGGAGCCAGAGCAGGAGCCAGAGCAGGAGCCAGAGCAGGAGCCAGAGCAGGAGCCAGAGCAGGAGCCAGAGCAGGAGCCAGAGCAGGAGCCAGAGCAGGAGCCAGAGCAGGAGTCAGAGCAGGAGTCAGAGCAGGAGTCAGAGCAGGAGCCAGAGCAGGAGCCAGAGCAGGAGCCAGAGCAGGAGCCAGAGCAGGAGCCAGAGCAGGAGCCAGAGCAGGAGCCAGAGCAGGAGCCAGAGCAGGAGCCAGAGCAGGAGCCAGAGCAGGAGCCAGAGCAGGAGCCACAGCAGGAGCCAGAGCAGGAGCCAGAGCAGGAGCCACAGCAGGAGCCACAGCAGGAGTAGGAACCAGGAGCTGAGGATATGCTGGGGAGGTGGTGGGTGTTAAGAGCTTCAGGAAACGCTGTTTATCGGGGAGTGGCTGCTTTTAAACTGCCGGCTTTGCTGTCTGTGGGTTGGCAAGAGGCTGGCAGAGCTGTGTGTTTGGCTGAGGCTGGATGTTGGCAGATCTTTGTGATTGGCTGAGGCTCGAGAGGCTGGCAGAGCTGTGTGATTGGCTGAGGCTGGAGGCTGGCAGAGCTGTGTGATTGGCTGAGGCTGGAGGTTGGCCCGCCAATCACACGAGCTGTGTGATTGGCGGGCCCTGGGCGGGTGAGAGCCGTGGCCGGTCTTTCAGTCTGAATTTACGCTTCAGCTTCATTACTGGAAAAGGACTGGACCAGGACTAGACCAGGACTAGACCAGGACTGGACCAGGACTAGACTAGGACCTTTCACAGTCTTCAACGTGTTTTTTTCCCTGTGCTCTGTTCCAGAATCAAACCGTGTGATTTCGACTACCTCAAGATAATCGGCAAAGGCAGCTTCGGAAAGGTACCAGGAAGAGAGACCAGAGAGAGAGACCAGAAAGAGACCAGGGAGAAACCAGGGAACCAGAGAGAGACCAGAGAGAGACCAGAGAGAGACCAGAGAGAGACCGGCGAGAGACCGGCGAGAGACCGGCGAGAGACCGGCGAGAGACCGGCGAGAGACCGGCGAGAGACCAGAGAGAGACCAGAGAGAGACCAGAGAGAGACCAGAGAGAGACCAGAGAGAGACCAGAGAGAGAGACCAGAGAGAGACCAGAGAGAGACCAGAGAGAGACCAGAGAGAGACCAAGAGAGAGAGAGACCAGAGAGAGACCAGAGAGAGACCCAAGAGAGAGACCAGAGAGAGACCGGAGAGACCGAGAAGAGAGAGACCAGAGAGAGAGACCAGAGAGAGACCAGAGAGAGACCAAGAGAGACAGAGAAGAGAGAGAGAGACCAGAGAGAGACCAGAGAGAGACCAGAGAGAGACCAGAGAAGGACCAGAGAGGGACTAGGGAGAGAGAGACCAGAGAACCTGAGAGAAACCAGAGAGAGACCAGATCTGTCAGATATAAAGGGGAAGAACCTTGAGTGTGGATCTGGTGTCAAATCCTTTAAATTATTCTGTTTTCTTTTCTTTTTATCTTTTGTCCCTGTGAAGCACTTTGGGCAGAGGGTGTTGTTGTAAATGTGCCACACAAAGAAAGTTGACATTGGCGTTTGTGCAGGTTCTTCTGGCACGACACAAAGAGTCTAGAGCGTATTACGCTGTCAAAGTTCTGCAGAAGAAGATCATCTTCAAGAAGAAAGAGGTACTGTGTTCATTCTACAGTCTGACAGTGTGTGTGTTTTCTGTGAAGACCTGTGTGTGTTTGTGTGGACCTGAGTGTTTGTGGAGACCTGTGTGTGTGGACCTGAGAGTGTGTGGACCTGTGAGAGTGTGTGTTTGTGGAGACCTGTGTGTGTTTGTGTGGACCTGTGAGTGTTTTTGGAGACCTGTTTGTGTGGACCTGTGAGTGTGTGTGTTTGTGGAGACCTCTGTCTGTGGATCTGTGAGAGTGTGTGTTTGTGGAGACCTGTGTGTGTTTGTGTGGACCTGTGAGTGTTTGTTGAGACCTGTTTGTGTGGACCTGTGAGTGTTTGTCGAGACCTGTTTGTGTGGACCTGTGAGTGTGTGTGTTTGTGGAGACCTGTGTGTGTGGACCTCTGAGAGTGTGTGTTTGTGGAGACCTGTGTGTGTGTGTGTGTGTGGACCTGTGAGTGTTTGTCGAGACCTGTTTGTGTGGACCTGTGAGTGTGTGTGTGTTTGTGGAGACCTGTGTGTTTGTGTGGACCTGTGAGTGTGTGTGTTTGTGGAGACCTGTGTGTGTGGACCTGTGAGAGTGTGTGTTTGTGGAGACCTGTGTGTGTGTGTGTTTGTGTGGACCTGTGAGAGTGTGTTTGTCGAGACCTGTTTGTGTGGACCTGTGAGTGTGTGTGTGTTTGTGGAGACCTGTGTGTGTGTTTGTGTGGACCTGTGAGTGTGTGTGTTTGTGGAGACCTGTGTGTGTGGACCTGTGAGAGTGTGTTTGTGGAGACCTGTGTGTGTGTTTGTGTGGACCTGTGAGAGTGTGTGTTTGTGGAGACCTATGTGTGTGTGGACCTGTGAGTGTTTGTCGAGACCTGTTTGTGTGGACCTGAGAGTGTATGAACCTGTGAGAGTGCGTGTTTGTGGAGACCTGTAAGTGTTTTTGTATGTTTGTGGAGACCTGTGTGTTTATGGAGACCTATGTGTGTGGACCTGTTTATGGAGACCTGTTTGTGTGGACCTGTGAGTGTGTGTGCTTGTGGAGACCTACGAGTATGTGTGTGGAGACCTGTGTGTGTGGACCTGTGAGTGTATGTGTTTTTATTTGTTTGTGGAGACATGTGTCTGTTTTGTATGTTTGTGTGTGTGTGTTTGTGGAGACCTGTGAGTGTGCTTGTGAAGACCTGTGTGTGTGTGTGGGCTTGTGGAGACCTGTGAGTGTGTGTGTTTGTAGAGACTCAGTGTGTCCTTGATTTTTCTCAGCAAAAGCACATCATGGCCGAGCGCAGTGTCCTCATGAAGAACATTCAGCATCCGTTCCTCGTGGGACTTCACTTCTCCTTCCAGACGACAGACAAGCTGTACTTTGTCCTGGACTATGTGAACGGAGGAGAGGTGAGACCAGAGAGACCAGAGGCCAGAGAGAGACCACAGAAAGACTACATAGAGACCACAGAGAGAGACCAGAGAGAGATACCAGAGACCAGAGAGAAGAACCAGAAAGAGAGACCAGGGTTGATATGTGCTGACAATGAAGATGCACAACTTTCAATCAGTTTTTGTTTCATTTGGAATTAGAGAAATTTGCTACAAACGCCGAGTGGAATCTGACTTTATACGCTTACCTTACTTACTATAGTTACGGGCTTCAAAGTTCCGTCCCCATCTTAAGTGTGTCCTGTGTGCAGCTCTTCTACCACCTCCAGAGAGAGAGGATCTTCCTGGAGCCCAGAGCTCGCTTCTACTCGGCTGAAATCGCTAGCGCTCTGGGATACCTGCACTCTCTGCACATCGTCTACAGGTGTGCCCCACGAATAAACACCACTCACCCCAACCCTAGAATACACTTTTCTCCATGTTCCAGAACCCTCACTGTGAGAGTGATGTCATTATGAGAGAGGGATGTCACCACTTCACCATTTCATATCTTAAGAAGATACCTTTTTAAAATTGAATTAGTTAAATATTGCAGAAACATATGAATTACAATCTAGTAATTCTGTCTATACTGCAGTATATGTCTGTAGTATATGTTCACGACTCCATTAAGCTCATCAAGTTCGTGGACGACACCACCCTCATTGGACTCATCTCCAACAACGATGAGTCTCCTACAGGAGGAGGTGGACCGGCTGGTGTCCTGGTGTCTCCTACAGGAGGAGGGGAACCGGCTGGTGTCCTGATAACAACCTGGAGCTGAACGCTCAGAAGACAGTGGAGATGATTGTGGACTTCAGGAAGAGCACAGTCCCCCCGCCCTCCCTAATGGACTCCCCCTTCACCTCGGTGGAGTCATTTCGTTTCCTGGGCACCACCATTCCCCAGGACCTCAATTGGAAGACAACCATGGTACCTCCTCCATCACCTCCTCCATCACCGTGTGGTTCGCTGGAGCCATAGTCAGGGACAAACAGAGACTACAGCGCATTGTGCGCTCTGTAGAGGAAGTGATCGGCCGCAGCCTTCCATCGCTGCAGGACCTGTACGTCGCCCGAGCTCGAGGCCGGGCTGGTCGTATCACAGCCGACCCCTCTCACCTGCACATGGACTATTCCAACCACTCCCCTCTCACCTGCACATGGACTATTCCAACCTCTCCCCTCAGGCAGGAGGCTGCGGTCCATCAGGACTAGAACCTCCCGCCTTAAGAACAGTTTCTTACTTACTTACTAAACTGAAGAAATGTATGTAGATTTTTTATGCCTTCTTGTTTTTATTCTGCCTTAACTTGTTTGCACCAAGAGCCAAAGCAATTTCCTAGTTTGTGACTTCCTGTTACTCACATGGCAATCAAAAGGATTCTGATTCTGGTATATACTCCAGTATATTTCTGTCTTTGCTGCAGTATATGTCTGTAGTACTTCTGTCTTTACTCCAGTAAATGTCTGTAGTACTTCTGTCTTTACTCCAGTAAATGTCTGTAGCAATTCTGTCTTTACTCCAGTAAATGTCTGTAGCAATTCTGTCTTTACTCCAGACGTAACAATATGTGTTAAAATCTAAACGATAAAAGAGCTCCCTCTAGTGGACGTCAACAAATCCACATCCAACTCTTTCCTTCTGAAGGAGGAGCAGTTTATATTAGAACAGTTTGTGTCAATGTGATGTCACATTCTCCTGACCCTGTGACCTGTGACCCTCAGGGACCTGAAGCCTGAGAACATCTTGCTGGACTCTCAGGGACACATCGTCCTCACAGACTTTGGTTTGTGTAAAGAAGGACTGGAGTCAAACGAAACCACTTCCACGTTCTGCGGAACTCCAGAGGTAAACACAGCCTCAGGTCATCCCTGACCCACTGCAGAGGTCCAGAATTCGGACCTGGACGAGGACCAGAATTAGGATCAAGGTTAGGACGAGAGTTAGGACGAGAGTTAGGACGAGAGTTAGGACGAGAGTTAGGACGAGAGTTTGGACGAGAGTTTGGACGAGAGTTTGGACGAGAGTTTGGACGAGAGTTTGGACGAGAGGACGAGAGTTTGGACGAGAGTTTGGACGAGAGTTTGGACGAGAGTTTGGACGAGAGTTTGGACGAGAGTTTGGACGAGAGTTTGGACGAGAGTTTGGACGAGAGTTTGGACCAGAGTTTGGACCAGAGTTTGGACCAGAGTTTGGACCAGAGTTTGGACCAGAGTTTGGACCAGAGTTTGGACCAGAGTTTGGACCAGAGTTTGGACCAGAGTTTGGACCAGAGTTTGGACCAGAGTTTGGACCAGAGTTTGGACCAGAGTTTGGACCAGAGTTTGGGACCAAGGTTAGGACCAAGGTTAGGACCAGGGTTAGGAACAGTGGATGTAACCTGGTGTGTGGTTGCAGTACTTGGCTCCGGAGGTGTTGCAGAAGCAGGCGTACGACCGCACAGTGGACTGGTGGTGTCTGGGCTCTGTGCTGTACGAGATGCTCTATGGTCTGGTGAGGATACTACACTATACTACTCTATACTGCACTTTACTGCCACTATACTACACTATACTACTCTATACTACATTATACTACTCTATGCTGCACTATACTGCCACTATACTACTCTATACTGCACTATACTGCCACTATACTACATTATACTGCCACTATACTACTCTATACTGCACTATACTTCCACTATACTACACTATACTACATTATACTACTCTATACTACTTTATACTGCACTATACTGCCACTATACTACTCTATACTGCACTATACTGCCACTATACTACATTATACTGCCACTATACTACTCTATACTGCACTATACTTCCACTATACTGCCACTATACTACATTATACTACTCTATACTACTCTATACTGCACTATACTGCCACTATACTACATTATACTACTCTATACTACACTATACTACATTATACTACTCTATACTACACTATACTACATTATACTACTCTATACTACATTATACTACTTTATACTACTCTATACTGCCACTATACTACTCTATACTGCCACTATACTACACTATACTACTCTATACTACACTATACTACTCTATACTGCACTATACTGCCACTATACTACATTATACTGCCACTATACTACTCTATACTGCACTATACTTCCACTATACTACACTATACTACATTATACTACATTATACTACTCTATACTGCACTATACTGCCACTATACTACTCTATACTGCACTATACTGCCACTATACTACATTATACTGCCACTATACTACTCTATACTGCACTATACTTCCTCTATACTGCACTATACTTCCACTATACTACACTATACTGCCACTATACTACATTATACTACTCTATACTGCCACTATACTACTCTATACTGCCACTATACTACTCTATACTGCCACTATACTACTCTATACTGCCACTATACTACACTATACTACTCTATACTACACTATAATACTCTATACTGCACTATACTGCCACTATACTACTCTATACTGCACTATACTGCCACTATACTACTCTATACTGCACTATACTACACTATACTACTCTATACTACACTATAATACTCTATACTGCACTAGGTGCTACGTAGTACGAGAGAAAGGTATTTTTCTGAAATGATTGAAGGCTGCAGCAACAATCTGCGTGTTCTGTTTTCAACAGTTAATAGATTAACAAACCCCCCTGTTCAAATGCCATTAGAGCTAACTTCCAAACGTAAATGTAATGAGTTTGCACATTTTTTCAATGACAAGGTTCAAGGCATCAAAAACGCCATTGTCTCCAATCCACAGATAACAATCCAACAGCCAGAAAGGCTCTCTGAGCTAACTCACTTTGCACCTGTAAATGATAAAACTGTCCAAGAGATAATCTCCAGTTTGAGCGCCTCCACATGCAGCCTGGATGTACTACCCACTAGATTTCTGAAGTCTGTTCTGAGCAGTCTGTTACCTTCACTCACACAGATAGTAAACATGTCCCTTCATTCTGGAATATTCCCAAAGGCCCTGAAAACTGCAGTCATCAGGCCCCTGCTAAAAAAGAGCAGTCTGGATGCTACGGTACTTAACAACTATCGTCCCATCTCAAATCTGCCATTTATGGGGAAAGTCCTTGAAAAAGTTGTCTACCTACAGCTTACTAGATTTCTTATAATCAACAACTCATTTGATATGTTTCAGTCCGGCTTTAGACCCCACCACAGCACTGAGACTGCTCTCGTTAAGGTTACAAACGATATCCGGCTGAACACTGACGCAGGCAAAGTCTCAATCTTAATCTTGTTAGATCTAAGTGCTGCCTTTGACACTGTCGACCATGAGATCCTCTTACAGAGACTAGAGGACTGGGTTGGCGTCGCTGGCACCGCCCTAAGTTGGTTTAGGTCTTACCTTGAAGACAGGAAGTACTTTGTGGAGATTGGAAACTGTGTCTCAGATCATATGGCCCTGACCTGTGGAGTCCCACAGGGGTCGATCCTGGGACCTCTTCTGTTCAATCTCTACATGCTGCCGTTAGGTCAGTTAATACGCAGAAACAAAGTTTCCTATCACAACTATGCAGACGACACTCAGATCTATGTCTCACTGACTGCAGGAGAACATGGACCAGTGGACTCACTCCTTCACTGTATCCAACAGATCAGTGAGTGGATGCAAAACAACTTCCTTCAGCTAAACGCAGACAAAACTGAAATGATTGTCTTTGGTCCCCAGAAACAAAGAGAGAGCGTCATCTGTCATCTACAGTCTCTCTCCCTAAAACCTTCAAACAAGGTCAGAAATCTAGGGGTAATACTGGACTCGGACTTAAATTTTAATAGCCACATCAAATCAGTAACATCAGCAGCTTTTTACCATCTAAAAAACATTGCCAGGATCAAAAACATAGTGTCTAAAGCAGACTTGGAGATTCTTATCCATGCATTTGTCTCCAGTAGGTTAGACTACTGCAATGGCCTGCTCACAGGTCTGTCCAAACAGGCTGTAAAACAGCTGCAGTACATTCAAAATGCAGCAGCTCCAGTCCTGACTAGAACCAGGAAGTACGACCATATTAGTCCTGACTAGAACCAGGAAGTACGACCATATTAGTCCTGACTAGAACCAGGAAGTACGACCACATTAGTCCTGACTAGAACCAGGAAGTACGACCATATTAGTCCTGACTCGAACCAGGAAGTACGACCACATTAGTCCTGACTAGAACCAGGAAGTACGACCACATTAGTCCTGACTAGAACCAGGAAGTACGACCACATTAGTCCTGACTAGAACCAGGAAGTACGACCACATTAGTCCTGACTAGAACCAGGAAGTACGACCATATTAGTCCTGACTAGAACCAGGAAGTACGACCACATTAGTCCTGACTAGAACCAGGAAGTACGACCACATTAGTCCTGACTAGAACCAGGAAGTACGACCACATTAGTCCTGACTAGAACCAGGAAGTACAACCATATTAGTCCTGACTAGAACCAGGAAGTACGACCACATTAGTCCAGTCCTCAGGTCCCTGCACTGGCTTCCTGTGGCTCAGAGAATAGACTTTAAAACAGCTCTGCTTGTGTACAAGTCTCTCCATGGCCTCGCACCAAAATATATTAGTGACATGTTAGTCCCATATGAACCAGCCCGGACTCTGAGGAGCACAGGGACTGGACTCCTGCTGGGACTCTGAGGAGCACAGGGACTGGACTCCTGCTGGGACTCTGAGGAGCACAGGGACTGGACTCCTGCTGGGACTCTGAGGAGCACAGGGACTGGACTCCTGCTGGGACTCTGAGGAGCACAGGGACTGGACTCCTGCTGGGACTCTGAGGAGCACAGGGACTGGACTCCTGCTGGGACTCTGAGGAGCACAGGGACTGGACTCCTGCTGGGACTCTGAGGAGCACAGGGACTGGACTCCTGTTAGTGCCCAGAGTCAGAACTAAACATGGGGAGGCTGCTTTTCAGATTCATGCTGCTAAAATCTGGAACAATCTTCCTGAAGATGTGAGACAGGCCTCCTCTCTGACTATGTTTAAAACCAAGTTAAAAACGGTGCTGTTTAGCTGTGCTACAACTGAGGGATTTTATATTTTTATCTTTCGTTTTAATGTTCTGTGATTATTTATGATTTTAATGCTATCTTGTTCAGCACTTTGAGTTGCCTTGTGTATGAATTGTGCTATACAAATAAACTTGCCTTGCATTGCCTATACTGCCACTATACTACTCTATACGGCACTATACTGCCACTATACTACTCTATACTACTCTATACTGCCACTATACTACTCTATACTGCCACTATACTGCCACTATACTACTCTATACTACTCTATACTGCCACTATACTACTCTATACTGCCACTATACTACACTACACTAGTAAGTAAGTAGTAAGTAAGTTTTATTTATATACCGCCTTTCAGAATCAGAATCATTTTTATTGCCACGTGAGTAACAAAGTTATCACTTGGAAATTGTCTTGGCAGAGAGCGTGCCACTTCGCCATTTGCGGCGCTGTGTTCACAGACCAGAGTCTCAAAGCGGTTTACAATTGTTATTTTTGGGCATTAGTCTCTCACTCCACACAGAGATGGGAGCGGGGTCGCCAGTACAGGAGGCGCATGCCAGAACTATTGGACATATTTTTAGTGGTAGGGGAAACCGGAGCACCCGGAGGAAACATAAGGGAGAACATGCAAACTCCACTCAGAAAGGCCCTGGTCCAGCCAGGATTCGAACCCAGGACCTTCTTGCTGAGAGGCGAGAGTGCTATCCACTCAGCCACCGTGCATTACATTATACTACTCTATACTACTCTATACTGCACTATACTGCCACTATACTACTCTATACTACACTATACTACTCTATACTACATTATACTACTCTATACTACACTATACTACTCTATACTGCCACTATACTACATTATACTACTCTATAGTACTCTATACTACTCTATACTACACTATACTACTCTATACTACTCTATACTGCCACTATACTACTGTACACTATACTTCTCTAAACTACTCTATACTACACTATACTGCCACTGTACTACACTATACTACTCTATACTACACTATACTGCCACTGTACTACACTATACTACTCTATACTACACAATACTACACTATACTACATTATACTACTCTATACTGCCACTGTACTACATTATACTACTCTATACTACACTATACTGCATTCTGTACTACACTATACTACACTATACTACTCTATACTACTCTATACTACACTATACTACACTATGAATTAAATGTGTTGAATATACATAAAACACATTGTAAAACTGCTCAAATAAAAATACTACCACTATTACTACTATACTACACTATACTACTCTATGCTACCACTATACTACACTAGTGGTACTGAAGGTGGCCAGGTTCAGAGGTCCCGTCGTCCTACCATGGAACAGACAATGGGACAACGGGTGAATAGCAATGAACAAACTACAGTCAAAATCCTAATAATGCAAAACAGATAAAGTAGGAAGGAGGAGAGGATAGTGCTCAAGTTACCATACTTCTCCAGCAGGGGGCTCCCTATGCAGCTTGACTGACAGTCTGAGGAGTTTAGCCTTCCCTGAGTCTTCCTAACCATATGCTAAACTAAAGAGGACTGTTTTAAACCTAGCCTAGAACGTAGGGTTGAAGATGCAGTGGACCGGGTCCCACATACGCAGACTCCAAGACCGGACAACAACCTAACCAAATGCTAAGTTGAAAAAGAGTGTTTTAAGCCTGGCCTTAAATGTAGAGACAGTGTCTGCTTCCTTAACGTGCGTGGGGAGCTGATTGGCGTTTTGCGAGCGCAGTGCTCGCATTGGTTGATAAGACATCAACATGTCTTGAAGATAAGAGGGAGCCAAGCCATTTATGGCTTTGTATGTTGAGAGAAGGATTTTAAACTTTATTCTGTACTCCACAGGGAGCCAGTGGAGTGATTTTAACACCGGAGTTATGTGCTCCCTCCTTTTGGCGCCTGTTAACCCTCCAAGGTCTAGGGTCATTTTGGGGAACCTTCCTCGCCTGGTTTTCTTTTTGTATAATTGCTCATAAAAGAGTAATTTTTTGATGCAGAGTCAAGCAGTATACTTTGTTTTTTTCAGTACAACCTGGGGTTTTAGAATATCTCTATTTTAGAGCTGTATCAATTATATAAAAGATTTGGAGTCATGAAGACAAAGAAAAAAATCGAAACGGAAAATCTATTTCACAAAAATGTATTGAAAAACACAATGAAATGCTATAAACAACTGTTTACACTGCATAGAAATGTTATTTATGGTCTTGGGGATAATGGGGAAAAAATTTGACTTTTTACAAAATTCCTCTATAAAAGCCAAAAACGCTGTACTCCTGATGCCCTTCCTCAAGCAGTTTGTCTATGAGGCTGTGGTTGCTTTCTGTATCACAGCGGTAAAATATGTAGCAGTAGAAAACAAAAGAAACTAAGACAACAACAAAAAAACATCTAGCTCCATGGGCACCAACACTGCACCGTATCCCATTGCAGCAGCGCGGTGGTCTTTTTCGGGTCTGACACCCACAGGCACAGACTGTACAGGTACGGCACACGAAGCAGGAGGCCTCGTCTTCACCTCATGTGCATTCACCAGTAGAATCGGCATTGAAGTCTGGCACACAGTGCGCTCACACACCGAAAAGTCTGCCCCGTTAACCGGCCCCCGTCGTGCATCTGCGCATCACACATCGGGCAGGCACGTTTGCGTGGCAGGACTATTAGGTGATAGTGTGAGTCACGGTCGGTGTCGCACCTAGACAGTTAAGGAAAACGTCCCGTTGACCAGTACTCCGTCTTTGAATACACACGAGTTGTGTGGCCTGCGGCGGTCGCCAAGTGACTGCACCAAGATGCAATTGTGGCTGCGCCTGTATGGGGATACATAATGGAATATGGAGGGCGTTCCGCACTGCCTTCCAACCAATCTCTGAGTGGCGAGCAACGATCTGAATCAGCAGCTTGGGCACACGCAGTACCCGCAATGGTCCAGCCGGAAACATGTGATCTTGTTTGTAATTGTCACATAATCCGTCTCTGTGTTGCTCTCCGTGTACTGGTGTGCGTACTCCCCACCGAAACGCACAGCTGTTTCAGTTACGGGGCGTGTCTCCACTCCCCACCGGACTTCGGCAACACCGGGATCTGGGGGGAATGCAGAGACCCCTCCATCTCACACAGGATTGGCTTGATGACATGTGGGTTTTAGGGCTGGGAGAGAGGGATCCAGCCAATTTACAGGGCAAGCCTCACGACAGGCCTGCGGGAGAGACTGTCAGCGTTAGTTTGTAAAAGCGACGCTGGACGAGTGAACGAATATTCAAAGTCATAATCCGCCATCTGTCTCCAACCACCGGGCGAGCTGAACGCGGGCGCGATCTCATTCGCGTCCAGGCCAAGCGCAGGTCCTGCTGTGGTCGGGACGACAACTCTGAAGGGCCGTCCGACGCAGGTACTGTCGGAAAAGCACAGGTGAAACTCCTACAATGCGCCAACACTCCCTTCAGGAGTGCCCAATAGTGGTCTGCTCCAGCCACTGCGCAGCTTGCGACAGCCGGCCTTAGCGCTAAAACACCTCCCGCCCATCCGCTGCCAATTGCGACAGGACCGCGCTGCAGCTGCCATTGTATCACTGGCATCTGTGTCCGAGGACACATACCGCCCTGGTCTTAGCCGTCGTTAACGCACAAGACACCGGAGCAGTGGTCCACCAGCCGCTTAAGTGTGCAGAAAGCAGCTTGGTGCGCGGCATGCCACTGGAAGCGTACGTTTTTTCTTGGTCAGGTTGTGCATTGGTTCGGCTATTGAGGCAAAGTCTTTTCACAACCTGCGGTATGTAAGAGGCGAGCCAAAAAACGCCTTACATCATGGACAGAATGGGAGCGGCCATGCCTGGACTTTGTGGCCACTTGTTTGGATCAGTGGCCACACCGTGACACAAATAGGTGACCTGGCGGTGGAAAGAGGCTGCATTTGGAGGGTTTTAAATATTAGATTTGCTTGTTTGGAGTCTCATGGAACACCTTGCTGCCGCTGCCAGCATCTCTGGAACGTCCACTGGCCAGCAAGATTAATGGTCGTCGAGTAAACCAAGACAGTCTCCCTCTGCATACAAGCCAGGAAGCGGTCCATTAAACGCTGGAACTGGCTTGGTGCGTTGCACAGCCGAATGGCATACTTCCATTCAAACAGGCCGTCTCCGTGTTGCAAAAGGCGGTTTTGGCTGCGCCGGCCTGGTATGAGCTCCCCTTTCCAATACCTGGCGGCAGGTCCAATTGTGCAGAACCACTTAGTCAGAGGAAAGTTATGTCCACGGTCTTGGATCCGGGGCAGCGGGTATGCATCGGTGATGTTGTCACCGATCTGCGGTCTGCCACCAGCTGCTTTTTTCCACAGCCAGCCGTCGTGGGGGGTTTTTTTTTTTTTCTGCTTGACTGGAGCACCTGGTCCTGGTGAGGATTCAATCTGGACGAGGCTGGTCCGGCCCCGACTACCGGTCCCCCAGGAAAATACACTTTCATATGCACACAACAGGTTGGTTACTTCGACCTTTTTCATGTCATTAAGGTCAACAGAACTCTGGGCATAAGAGCTCTTGGAGGTGCTCTGGAACAGATGGGGTACTGGATCCAGAGAAGACAGGGGGCTGAGGCGTCATGGATGAGGAACAGTCTCTGCAGGCAGAAGGAGAACAGCAATGGCGCCTTCTTAACAGACACAGGTTTATTGCCAGGGTTGAAGAGGCGCAGTGGAATAACTATAAGGTTCGGGATGACGCATGGACGAGGCACACTAGGGCGCTGAGAGCACTTCGGGTGTTCTCAACAACAACCAAGTGTAGGGCTCAAAGCAATCATGTCTCCTTGTACAGCTTCATCCAGGTGCAGCACAGTGACCTTTGACCCAAAACATACTACCTGTCCGTGGCATCCAATCACAAGAAGTTCTGGCCGCATGTCCTCACAGCGCATGCGAATCTGGAACACAGTCCTCTGAGGTGGAAATAGGCACTTATCTTCACCGAAAAGCGCTCATGCGGTGCGTCACCGAAAATCGAGAGACGGCGCTATCAAAGCCTGCGTGAGAAACATGGGTGACCGAGCAGTCACACATCCGTCCCTGCACGGTTCCGCTACATCCGAGAAAAGTCAACTTCCGACATGACAGGTTGTCGAAAAATCGACTGGAAAACTTTGGTTTCAACCCAGCATCCCCCCCCCCCACCCAGAACATCACCAGGTCCCAACTCCAATCAAAGTCTCTACTGTAGATCAGGGCTCAGAATAGGGGCCAGTTCAGCTGTGACAGCGGCTGCCCTCTAGTGTCCTGTCTCTGTGACAGCGGCTGCCCTCTAGTGTCCTGTCTCTGTGACAGCGGCTGCCCTCTAGTGTCCTGTCTCTGTGACAGCGGCTGCCCTCTAGTGTCCTGTCTCTGTGACAGCGGCTGCCCTCTAGTGTCCTGTCTCTGTGACAGCGGCTGCCCTCTAGTGTCCTGTCTCTGTGACAGCGGCTGCCCTCTAGTGTCCTGTCTCTGTGACAGCGGCTGCCCTCTAGTGTCCTGGCCGCGCGGCCAAGTTTCTCTGTGACAGCGGCTGCCACAATTTGTCACAAGCGGCTCAAGCCGCGCGATAGACGCGATTTGGCCGCAGAAATCGCGTTTGGTCTGAACGCACCATTACAACTCTGTTTGAGTTGTAGGAGTTAAGATCCTTTTTCACTGACTTTGGGATGTCAGCAAAATACGATGTCACCGTGAAAAAAGTGACCGGTTCCTTGGCTACCGCCATTGTGTTTACATTAAAGGCACACCGTGTAACTCTTGGCCACTAGGGGCGCTAGACCTGCAACTTTCACGTTTAGCGCCCCTAGTGGCCACAAGCAACTCAGCACTGTCGCAAAAGTCAAACAGTCAGCCGGTGTCTTTTGAGTGTGTATTGAGACAGCATGCACTGGTGTGTGTGTTCAAACTGTAGAGACATGCCTACAGATATTGAGAGACTCTGCTGTGGTCAGCCTCCAGACAGCTGCATTAGTAATCTACCACACATGGACTTCTATATCCTGGATGAGGGAGTTCTGCGTCTAGCTCGTGCTGCGTGGAATGACATCTTTGCAGTCGATGACATCCAGGAACCAGGTGAAGAGCAGCGCTCATACAGACATGCAGCTTACAGCACGATCCCTTTCGCGTTTCCTCTTTTTAGCCTCCTCCGAAGGTTTAAAATTTTTCCTTGCCTCAGCCATGACCAGGAGTCCAGCAGGTGAAAAATGAGTAGCAAAAGCCTTAGCTCCATGAGTATATCAGCGCCTGTAGCCGTAAAGCAAGTCTTTCTTCCAAGTCACGTGACCTGGTGGCAGACGGTCCGTCTGCTCGAAACTTACATGGGCGGTATTTCAAGAGGGCAGCCCCGCTCGGAGCATTGCAAGTGTCAAGCGCTGTATATTGGCCCAAGTATTCATATAAAATAACTCATATGTGTCAACTCTTTAGGTCACAAAGTCCGCGGTGTGCCTTTAAGTACAGCGGGTTGGACACGGAAGTGATGTCGTGACGTCACACTCGCCATCCCCATGGTTGAAGCAGCAGAATGAGAAACACGAACCCGTAGAATCTCGCGAGATTTCCCGTTCAGCATCGCCTCGTTCGTAGCCACGGACCCTAACGTCTGCAGTCCGCGGTGCTGCGTATTTCCACATTATTTGCTTTAAACCTGTACATTTGACACTACTGGTAACGTCTCTGCTCAGTGCCACACTCCGTGCACTGAGTTCAACACCTTTAAGACCGAGTGTGTGCGTGTGAATGCGTCTGACTCTGTTCTGTCCCCAGGTGTCCAAAGCGGGGTGCTAACAGCTAACAGTTAGCAGCTAACAGCTAACAGTTAGCAGCTAGCAGCTAACAGCTAGCAGCTAACAGCTAACAGCTAGCAGCTAGCAGCTAGCAGCTAACAGCTAGCTCCCTCATTAGCCGAGGGCGGAAGGAGGGACGCGCTGTTGCTGCGGTCGCAGTTCTCCGTCTCCACTGATCCACGTCTGACTGAAGCTGAAGGTAACACCTGTGACACGGTGGTGTTTTCTAACGACCTGCTTTGTTTTATTGTGCTTTTCTCATGTTTTGGCGAAGATTAATTTCCCAGGTCCTAAAATGGCTCCTGCAGCTCGGCTCACGTTTCATGCGGTCATTGAGACGCTTTCAGGCCTCTGTGCATCCGTGTCCTGGACCTATGCTCTGTTTGAATGTTTTAATGTTTTAATGTGTCCAGATGAAAGGGTTTAATGTGTCCAGATGAAAGGGTTTAATGTGTCCAGATGAAAGGGTTTTAATGTGTCCAGATGAAAGGGTTTTAATGTGTCCAGATGAAAGGGTTTTAATGTGTCCAGATGAAAGGGTTTTAATGTGTTCAGATGAAAGGGTTTTAATGTGTCCAGATGAAAGGGTTTTAATGTGTCCAGATGAAAGGGTTTAATGTGTCCAGATGAAAGGGTTTTAATGTGTCCAGATGAAAGGGTTTCTTTGGTTTCAGACTCATGCTTCATGTGTTCTTAAAACTGTTCTAATGGCGTCCTGTAAAAACACCTTCTGCAGCTACATCCTTGTACACTGGATATATGTGTTTTGACCCACACACAAACACAGACATCCTTGTACACTGGATATATGTGTTTTGACCCACACACAAACACAGACATCCTTGTACACTGGATATATGTGTTTTGACCCACACACAAACACAGACATCCTTGTACACTGGATATATGTGTTTTGACCTGAATTGTTATTAATGAGTCTTTATCACTTGATTCATTGTTAGCTTCTTGATGCTAGCGTTAGTAATGGTGCCTTACACATGTATAAGGATCTGCTTTAGCTGTTGGTTAAATATCTATATTGTTAAACACAATGTTTGAACTTAAACTTTAGTTTCATTGTTGGAGGACTTTAGTTTAAACACTTTTAAACCAGTTACACTTGAATAGATTGCAGAGACCTTTCTCATACTGTCTGCGTCATGTTTTGGCCTTGTTCAGAGGAGGTTCAGGGACGTTACAATGTGTCATCAGAATGATTTATATTGTCATTGTAAGAAAATGTCAGTCGCAAACAAGGAATTTGTTTTGGCTTTAAGTGCAAACAAGTTGGAGTTAAAGCTAAAGCCATGTGTTAACATATCTTAAAGTAGTACTAGAGTTTAATATGCTGCTATCCAGAATATATAACTACAATATGTGTTTATAATATTTCAGGTGTTCATTTTGACATGTTCAGATGAATTATGTTAATACTACTTTAATGACTCCTAAATGTAGTGCACAGTGCAGTAAGTACTCTAGTACTAGTATTCTAGTACTACTTTAATGACTACTAAATGTAGTGCACAGTGCAGTAAGTACTCTAGTACTAGTATTCTAGTACTACTTTAATGACTACTAAATGCAGTGCACAGTGCAGTAAGTACTCTAGTACTAGTATTCTAGTACTACTTTAAAGACTACTAAATGTAGTGCACCAGTGCAGTAAGTACTCTAGTACTAGTATTCTAGTACTACTTTAATGACTACTAAATGTAGTGCACAGTGCAGTAAGTACTCTAGTACTAGTATTCTAGTACTACTTTAATGACTCCTAAATGTAGTGCACAGTGCAGTAAGTACTCTAGTACTAGTATTCTAGTACTACTTTAATGACTACTAAATGCAGTGCACAGTGCAGTAAGTACTCTAGTACTAGTATTCTAGTACTACTTTAAAGACTACTAAATGTAGTGCACCAGTGCAGAAAGTACTCTAGTACTAGTATTCTAGTACTACTTTAATGACTACTAAATGCAGTGCACAGTGCAGTAAGTACTCTAGTACTAGTATTCTAGTACTAATTTAAAGACTACTAAATGCAGTAAGTACTGAGACAGTTTAGGATCTGAGTGTTGCAGTGTGTACAGCTCAGTAGTCTCCATAACACAAGAGAATACTAAAACACTGGGATATTGTCCTCATATCTGTGTGGCAGTTGTTAATGACTCAGAAGTATAGTTCCATTAGCTTTAAGGGCGATGGGTGAATCAAGTTAAAAACGCATGTAAGTAAAGCTCAGGTACCTAACTTTCAAACCACAATAAATTCTAATGGAATGACGTGACTAACTGTTTGGTCTTTCACTAGTTTTCACGTCAGTCCAGAGTCCAATGGGAATCCAACACATAATGATGCAAGAATACAAAACACGGATTGAGGAGGCGGTCACCAGGCCTTTCACCGTTTATGTAGCGTTCTACTGTAAACCAGAGATATTATATTTAATCTTTTGCTTTGAACAGTAACCATCTCGGCCTGTGTACTTGTTGCAGCTGGATGGAGGAAGCGTGTTCTTGTGTCTGGGTTTATCCTCAGAACAATAAAGCGGTCACAGATCATTTATAATGTACAACCCTGACCCATGTTGCTATAGCAACAGTTAGTCAACCATCACAATCCTCTGAACCCTGCTGTTTTGGAGCCTCAGAGGGACAACATGACTTTTCCCCACTGTCTCCTTGTTCATAATGAGTTTTATTTTCTTCACTGAACTCAGAGCAGAGCTGGAGGTTCTCTCTCCTCATTTGAATACAGGCTGTTTTTACAGACGAGTCCAAACAAAGGGGCTCCCCAGGGGTCGACACCCGGACCCTCAGCTTTCTATATCTGCTGAAACTACACGAGAGCAGCCACTTCACACCTGCCTGCCCTGGGGCGTGTGCAGATACTATAGTGCAAAAGGGAAAGTGATACATGTCTGGTATGCAGCCAGACTGGCCTATGTCACCTTTGACCTCTGTTCCCTAAGACCATGACATCTACAAACCAGGCTAATATGATTTAAAAACATTCAAATGTTTATTATTGGTGTTTAATGTAAAACTCCCTGAAGGCCTCTGCTTTTGTTTCAGGACACAGTGATTTGGAGCCATGTCTAAACCAGAGTCTCCTATAAAGTCCCGGTCCAAGTCCAGATCCAGGTCCAGGTCTTACTCCAGGTCTCACTCCAGGAGCCGCTCTCGCTCCCGATCCAGGAAGCGTCGCTACAGGTGAACAACTCATTCATTCAGCTCACCTTAAAATGAATGTGCCTCATTAGAAACTGCTGTACTGCACTTCCTGTTGGACTGGACTCCTCCCTCTCAGTCTGTGAGCAGTGTGTGTGTCAATGAAAGCGTGTGTGTTGACGCTAACATGGACTTGACTTTAGGAACTAGACAAACACATGGACTTGACTTTAGGAACTAGACAAACACATGGGCTTCAGTCCTTTAGGAACTAGACAAACACATGGACTTGACTTTAGGAACTAGACAAACACATGGACTTCAATCCTTTAGGAACTAGACAAACACATGGACTTCAGTCCTTTAGGAACTAGACAAACACATGGACTTGACTTTAGGAACTAGACAAACACATGGGCTTCAGTCCTTTAGGAACTAGACAAACACATGGGCTTCAGTCCTTTAGGAACTAGACAAACACATGGGCTTCAGTCCTTTAGGAACTAGACAAACACATGGGCTTCAGTCCTTTAGGAACTAGACAAACACATGGGCTTCAGTCCTTTAGGAACTAGACAAACACATGGGCTTCAGTCCTTTAGGAACTAGACAAACACATGGACTTCAGTCCTTTAGGAACTAGACAAACACATGGGCTTCAGTCCTTTAGGAACTAGACAAACACATGGGCTTCAGTCCTTTAGGAACTAGACAAACACATGGACTTGACTTTAGGAACTAGACAAACACATGGACTTCAGTCCTTTAGGAACTAGACAAACACATGGACTTCAGTCCTTTAGGAACTAGACAAACACATGGACTTCAGTCCTTTAGGAACTAGACAAACACATGGACTTCAGTCCTTTAGGAACTAGACAAACACATGGACTTGACTTTAGGAACTAGACAAACACATGGACTTGACTTTAGGAACTAGACAAACACATGGACTTGACTTTAGGAACTAGACAAACACATGGGCTTCAGTCCTTTAGGAACTAGACAAACACATGGGCTTCAGTCCTTTAGGAACTAGACAAACACATGGGCTTCAGTCCTTTAGGAACTAGACAAACACATGGGCTTCAGTCCTTTAGGAACTAGACAAACACATGGACTTCAGTCCTTCAGGAACTAGACAAACACATGGACTTTAGGAACTAGACAAACACATGGACTTGACTTTAGGAACTAGACAAACACATGGGCTTCAGTCTTAAGGAACTAGACAAACACATGGGCTTCAGTCCTTTAGGAACTAGACAAACACATGGACTTCAGTCCTTTAGGAACTAGACAAACACATGGACTTGACTTTAGGAACTAGACAAACACATGGACTTGACTTTAGGAACTAGACAAACACATGGACTTGACTTTAGGAACTAGACAAACACATGGGCTTCAGTCCTTTAGGAACTAGACAAACACATGGGCTTCAGTCCTTTAGGAACTAGACAAACACATGGGCTTCAGTCCTTTAGGAACTAGACAAACACATGGGCTTCAGTCCTTTAGGAACTAGACAAACACATGGGCTTCAGTCCTTTAGGAACTAGACAAACACATGGACTTGACTTTAGGAACTAGACAAACACATGGACTTGACTTTAGGAACTAGACAAACACATGGACTTGACTTTAGGAACTAGACAAACACATGGACTTCAGTCCTTTAGGAACTAGACAAACACATGGACTTGACTTTAGGAACTAGACAAACACATGGGCTTCAGTCCTTTTGGAACTAGACAAACACATGGGCTTCAGTCCTTTAGGAACTAGACAAACACATGGGCTTCAGTCCTTTAGGAACTAGACAAACACATGGGCTTCAGTCCTTTAGGAACTAGACAAACACATGGGCTTCAGTCCTTTAGGAACTAGACAAACACATGGGCTTCAGTCCTTTAGGAACTAGACAAACACATGGACTTCAGTCCTTTAGGAACTAGACAAACACATGGGCTCCAGTCCTTTAGGAACTAGACAAACACATGGGCTTCAGTCCTTTAGGAACTAGACAAACACATGGGCTTCAGTCCTTTAGGAACTAGACAAACACATGGGCTTCAGTCCTTTAGGAACTAGACAAACACATGGGCTTCAGTCCTTTAGGAACTAGACAAACACATGGGCTTCAGTCCTTTAGGAACTAGACAAACACATGGGCTTCAGTCCTTTAGGAACTAGACAAACACATGGGCTTCAGTCCTTTAGGAACTAGACAAACACATGGGCTTCAGTCCTTTAGGAACTAGACAAACACATGGACTTGACTTTAGGAACTAGACAAACACATGGGCTTCAGTCCTTTAGGAACTAGACAAACACATGGACTTTAGGAACTAGACAAACACATGGGCTTCAGTCCTTGATCTCGTGGTTCTGGGGCGTTGGATCACATTCAGGGTGGCTGCTGTTAACAGATAGTCGGTGATTGTGGTATTTATTCACTGGCTTTAATTCACAACCAGGAAGTGTAAATACTGCTGCAGACTGGGGTGATGAGTAAACTCGAAGGACTGGACAGTGGGGTCCGCTTTTAATGTGCGGACCGCCTTACCGCTGACTCCAAAAAGTTGGGCCACTTTCCCGCGGTCTGAGAACAGTGACCCGCAAGAAATGCCCTCCACTTCTGCTGAGGAGGGAGCCCACCAAGCCCATCTCTTGCGCCACTGCGTTAGTAAAATTACGCAAGCCTCCTTTTTTGGGCTGGATAGTGCAGCTCAGTAGTGGCGTGAGTCTCTAAAGCGTTACTCCGTATCAAGGAAATACACGCTCATTTCATGTGACGGGAAGGACTGTTGAGGTGGGGGGTTAAGGGCGAGCAGCGCAACCCCCCATGATAGGGGTCGCTGGCTAAAAACTTTGGGAACCCCTGGTCTATGGGACTGGAGCAGCAACACAGCCCTCTGCTGGTTTTACAATAGATACAGTGCCTTGCGAAAGTATTCGGCCCCCTTGAACCTTTCAACATTTCGCCACATTACAGGCTTCAAACATAAAGATATAAAAATTCATTTTTTTGTCAAGAATCAACAAGTGGGACACAATCATGAAGTGGAACAAAATTTATTGGATAATTTGAACTTTTTTAACAAATAAAAAACTGAAAAGTGGGGCGTGCAATATTATTCGGCCCCTTGCGCTAATACTTTGTATCGCCACCTTTTGCTGCAATTACACCTGAACACACCATCCCCACCATGTTTGACAGTGGGGATGGTGTGTTCAGGGTGATGAGCTGTGTTGCTTTTACGACAAACATATCGTTTTGCATTGTGGCCAAAAAGTTTGATTTTGGTTTCATCTGACCAGAGCACCTTCTTCCACATGTTTGGTGTGTCTCCCAGGTGGCTTGTGGCAAACTTTAAATGAGACTTTTCATGGATATCTTTGAGAAATGGCTTTCTTCTTGCCACTCTTCCATAAAGGCCAGATTTGTGCAGTGCACGACTGATTGTTGTCCTATGGACAGACTCTCCCACCTCAGCTGTAGTTATCTGCAGTTCATCCAGAGTGATCATGGGCCTCTTGGCTGCATCTCTGATCAGTCTTCTCCGTGTTTGAGATGAAAGTTTGGAGGGACGGCCGGGTCTTGGTAGATTTGCAGTGGTTTGATACTCCTTCCATTTCAATATAACTGCTTGCACAGTGCTCCTTGAGATGTTTAAAGCTTGGGAAATCTTTTTGTATCCAAATCCGGCTTTAAACTTCTCCACAACAGTATCTCGGACCTGCCTGGTGTGTTCCTTTGTCTTCATGGTTCTCTCTGTGCTTTAAACAGAACCCTGAGACTATCAAAGAGCAGGTGCATTTATACGGAGACTTGATTACACACAGGTGCATTCTATTTATCATCATCAGTCATTTAGGACAACATTGGATCATTCAAAGATCCTCACTGAACTTCTGGACTGAGTTTGCTGCACTGAAAGTAAAGGGGCCCAATAATATTGCACGCCCCACTTTTCAGTTTTTTATTTGTTAAAAAAGTTTAAATTATCCAACAAATTTCGTTCCACTTCACGATTGTGTCCCATTTGTTGTTGATTCATGAAATTTTTTTTTTTTTTATATATATCTGTTTGAAGCCTGAAATGTGGTGAAAGGTTCAAGGGGGCCAAATACTTTCGCAAGGCACTGTATATTTACACTGGTCCCTGGTTTAAGACTGGGGTGATGTGTCCTAAATCCACCCCCACAATAAGGTGGAGAGAGACCAGCAAGATTGTTCGATCCTGCTGCTCTCTGTGGTCTCTCTCTCTCTGTGGTCTCTCGCTCTCTGTGGTCTCGCTCTCTGTGGTCTCGCTCTCTGTGGTCTCGCTCTCTGTGGTCTCGCTCTCTGTGGTCTCGCTCTCTGTGGTCTCGCTCTCTGTGGTCTCGCTCTCTGTGGTCTCGCTCTCTGTGGTCTCGCTCTCTGTGGTCTCGCTCTCTGTGGTATCGCTCTCTGTGGTCTCGCTCTCTGTGGTCTCGCTCTCTGTGGTCTCGCTCTCTGTGGTCTCGCTCTCTGTGGTCTCGCTCTCTGTGGTCTCGCTCTCTGTGGTCTCGCTCTCTGTGGTCTCGCTCTCTGTGGTCTCGCTCTCTGTGGTCTCGCTCTCTGTGGTCTCGCTCTCTGTGGTCTCGCTCTCTGTGGTCTCGCTCTCTGTGGTCTCGCTCTCTGTGGTCTCGCTCTCTGTGGTCTCGCTCTCTGTGGTCTCGCTCTCTGTGGTCTCGCTCTCTGTGGTCTCGCTCTCTGTGGTCTCGCTCTCTGTGGTCTCGCTCTCTGTGGTATCGTGGTCTCGCTCTTTGTGGTCTCGCTCTCTGTGGTATCGTGGTCTCGCTGTCTGTGGTATCGTGGTCTCGCTCTCTGTGGTCTCGCTCTCTGTGGTATCGTGGTCTCGCTCTCTGTGGTCTCGCTCTCTGTGGTATCGTGGTCTCGCTCTCTGTGGTCTCGCTCTCTGTGGTCTCGCTCTCTGTGGTATCGTGGTCTCGCTCTCTGTGGTCTCGCTCTCTGTGGTCTCGCTCTCTGTGGTCTCGCTCTCTGTGGTCTCGCTCTCTGTGGTCTCGCTCTCTCTGTGGTCTCGCTCTCTGTGGTCTCGCTCTCTGTGGTCTCGCTCTCTCTGGTCTCGCTCTCTGTGGTCTCTCTCTCTCTGTGGTCTCTCTCTCTGTGGTCTCTCTCTCTGTGGTCTCTCTCTCTGTGGTCTCGCTCTCTGTGGTCTCTCTCTCTCTGTGGTCTCTCTCTCTGTGGTCTCTCTCTCTCTCTCTCTGTGGTCTCTCTCTCTCTCTCTGTGGTCTCTCTCTCTCTCTCTCTGTGGTCTCTCTCTCTCTCTCTGTGGTCTCTCTCTCTCTGTGGTCTCGCTCTCTCTCTGTGGTCTCTCTCTCTCTCTCTGTGGTCTCGCTCTCTCTCTCTCTGTGGTCTCTCTCTCTCTCTGTGGTCTCGCGCTCTCTCTCTCTGTGGTCTCGCTCTCTCTCTCTGTGGTCTCGCTCTCTGTGGTCTCTCTCTCTGTGGTCTCTCTCTCTGTGGTCTCTCTCTCTCTCTCTGTGGTCTCTCTCTCTCTGTGGTCTCTCTCTCTCTCTCTGTGGTCTCGCTCTCTCTCTCTCTGTGGTCTCTCTCTCTGGTCTCTCTCTCTCTCTGTGGTCCTCATGACTAAACCTGGTCCCTCTCTGTCCCTCAGCTCCAGGTCCCGGTCTCGCTCCTACTCCCCGTCCTATAGGAACTACCCTTCCAGAGACTACCAGAACAACCGCGGGGGGTACCACCAGAACCGCGGCTACAACCGCGGCTACCGAAGGCCCTTCCACTACCGCGGCCGTAACCGTGGTTACCACCACCGGGGAGGCTACCACCAGAACCACCGCGGCGTCGGATACGGATACAAGTCCAACTGGCAGGGGGGGGGCTGGCATGACAAGGACCACAGCCCACGCAGAGGCCGGTCCAGGTCCAGGTCCAGGAAGAGGTCTGGGAGCAGGTCCAGGTCCAGGTACTCAGACCGGTCCTCCTCCAGGGGCTCCAGGAGGTCTCGCCGATCCAGGTCCTACTCCTCAAGGTACGCACACGCTGCATCTGCCAACACACACACACATCTGACCACAACACACACACACACAGGTCTGATTTTAAATGTGTTGTCTCCCAGGCGTGTCCAAAGTCCAGCCCTCTGATTGGCTGACCTAAATTACTCATCTTGGACTGTTGCTAACAAAGCTGGGGCACCTGATTTTCCCAACAGCTCATGTTGACCTGAAAGTCGTACATCACTGTTTCCCACTGATCCTCCGGCGTGTCCGGAGCCTGTGCTGAAATGCTCTGCACTTTGATTTGAACATTAATATTAATCAATTGTCTCTTCTTCAAACGCGGCCTGTCTCCCCAGGTCTCGCTCCTCTTCTCACAACCGCAGCGGGAAAGGTAAACATGTGAAAGACCACAAGAAACCAGTGGAGACTCAGGCCCCCAAACCAGAGGGCAGTGCCATCGAGAAGGCATCAGGCGGAAAGTGGATCGACTATGACGCCAGTCCTAAACCCTCCAGCCCCGAGAGAGCCCAGGTGAGGGAGGGGCCGGTGAGGGAGGGGCCGGTGAGGGAGGGGCCGGTGAGGGAGGGGCCAGAGGGGGAGGGGCTGCTCTGGTCTCTTTACTGGTGCTGGTTGTTTTGAATACAGTTTGTAACTGTATTAAATCGCTGTGCTGTTTCTTCAGGCGGGTGCTAAAAAGGAGGACTCTTCCTCAGACAAGGGGCCGGGGGCAGGGGGTCCCATGTGGAGGAGCATAGGGTCAGTTACTCCTCCCAAACCGTCGCCCCCGGCAACAGGTCAGACCGCGGCGTTCGGAGGATTCGGGTTCTTCTCAAAGGACGAGGACACTCCTGCCAACAAGAGCGAGATCACTGCTGCGTTCAAGAAGTAGGTTTCTCTCACATCCTCTGCTGCTCTCACATCTGCCACATCTGTGTCTTAACCAACTTTACATTTAATTTTTAGCCTAATTTCAAAGATCCTTGGAAGAATACTGATTAAAATGGAAACACAGCCCGGTTTTAAAGCCGTGATAATAAGTGATTTGAAAATGTTCTGAGAGGAAGTTGTTTGAAATCCATTATCTTAGGACGGTGTTTTGACGTGAGTATTCTGAGCTGAGTTTCTGTGTGTGTGTGTGTGTGTGTTGGACATGAAGGTAAGGTACAGAGGAAGTGTGTCTTTGCACACTCTCATAATGGACTGTGTGAGGGCTGCATACACACCTATAACGGACACACAGACACAGCTTTTTCCAACAGAAAAGGGGACCACCCTCACTCAGCCAATCAGCTCTCAGCTCAAAGAGTGGAACACAGTTTGTCACAGATGTAAAACTCCACAGTCCATTATTACTATGATCTTCTGAGGCAGTTATGTCACAGCTACCTGACCTCAGGTTTGTATTTCGCCAGATGCTAAAGCTGTTCCTTCTCTTTCAGATTTTTGGCAGAAAATAAAGCCAAAAAAGAGGATGCGGAGCTGGAGAAGGCAAAGGCCGAGCTGTACTCGTTCAGTGAGAAAGAGGACAAAGAGCAGCCGTTCTTCGACGCTGGAGAGGAGGAGTTCCTCAAGTCTCATGTGGGTCTGGAGGACGAGGGCGGAGCTAAGACGGTCTCTGCCCGAGACCTGTTCGGGAAGTGGGGAGACGAGTACCCCTCCTCCTATCCCAAAGACAAGGCCCGCAGGGACATGGAGGAGCCAGAGGGGGCGCCAGAGGAGGAGCCCTATCGCCGCAAGCACAAGAAGGAGGACAAGAAGAAGAAAGAGAAGAAAGACAAGTCCCGCAGGAGTCCGTCCCCACGAGAGAAAGAGCGCCCCCTGTTCCCTGGAGCTTTCCCTACACGCACTGAGTCTCCCACTCGACTGGCCGCATCCAGGGATGAGTTCGAACAGAAGGTCACCGCCATGGGGCTGGACGAGATCAACAGGTGAGGGAGGGGCTGGACGAGATCAACAGGTGAGGGAGGGGCTGGACGAGATCGACAGGTGAGGGAGGGGCTGGACGAGATCGACAGGTGAGGGAGGGGCTGGACGAGATCGACAGGTGAGGGAGGGGCTGGACGAGATCGACAGGTGAGGGAGGGGCTGGACGAGATCGACAGGTGAGGGAGGGGCTGGACGAGATCGACAGGTGAGGGAGGGGCTGGACGAGATCCACAGGTGAGGGAGGGGCTGGACGAGATCGACAGGTGAGGGAGGGGCTGGACGAGATCGACAGGTGAGGGAGGGGCTGGACGAGATCGACAGGTGAGGGAGGGGCTGGACGAGATCGACAGGTGAGGGAGGGGCTGGACGAGATCCACAGGTGAGGGAGGGGCTGGACGAGATCCACAGGTGAGGGAGGGGCTGGACGAGATCAACAGGTGAGGGAGGGGCTCCATGAGGAGAGGGGGAGAGGGCTGAACAGATTTGTTCAGTTTAGTGACTAACTGTAGGTTATCCTTACACCGCAACCATCTCCTAACTTCAGTTCTCTGCACCTCTCTGCACCTCTCTGCACCTCCTCTGCACCTCTCTGCCCCTCTTCTGCCCCCCCTGTCCTGACCTGTCCCTCTCCTTTCTTTCAGTCAGTCTGTCGCTAAAGAACCTTCTGGTTCCAGGGACCCGAGTCTGTCAAAGAAAGACGCAGAGTTTCGCTCCATATTCCAGCACATCCAGTGGAACCGCCGCAGCCCGTCTGAGCTGTTCGCCCAGCACCTGGTCTCCATCGTGCACTACATCAAAGGTACCAGCGGGGGCGCTCTCTGACCCCTGACCCCTGACCCCTGACTTCTGACTCCTGACCTGTGTCTGTGTTTCAGCTCTACACTTCCCCTCTGCTGACATCAGTCTGAGTGACAGGTTTGCTACATACCAAAAGAAAGCAGAGGAGGCAGAACTGATGAAGACCCGCAAGAGTCCAGAGATTCACAGGTATGGGAGGGGGGAGAGTGAGTGTGGGTGGGAGGGGGGAGAGTGAGGGTGGGAGGGAGGGGAGAGTGAGTGAGGGTGGGAGGGAGGAGAGTGAGGGTGGGAGGGGAGAGTGAGGGTGGGAGGGGAGGGGAGAGGAGGGGAGGGGAGAGGAGAGTGAGGGTGGGAGGGGAGGGGAGAGGAGAGGAGAGTGAGGGTGGGAGGGGAGGGGAGAGGAGGGGAGGGGAGAGGAGAGTGAGGGTGGGAGGGGAGGGGAGAGGGAGAGGAGAGTGAGGGTGGGAGGGGAGAGGAGAGTGAGGGTGGGAGGGGAGGGGAGAGGAGAGTGAGGGTGGGAGGGGAGAGGAGGGGAGGGGAGAGGAGAGTGAGGGTGGGAGGGGAGGGGAGAGGAGAGGAGAGTGAGGGTGGGAGGGGAGAGGAGAGTGAGGGTGGGAGGGGAGGGGAGAGGAGAGTGAGGGTGGGAGGGGAGAGGAGAGTGAGGGTGGGAGGGGAGGGGAGAGGAGAGTGAGGGTGGGAGGGGAGAGGAGGGGAGAGGAGAGTGAGGGGTGGGAGGGAGGGGAGAGGAGAGGAGAGTGAGGGTGGGAGGGGAGAGGAGAGTGAGGGTGGGAGGGGAGGGGAGAGGGAGAGTGAGGGTGGGAGGGGAGAGGAGAGTGAGGGTGGGAGGGGAGGGGAGAGGAGAGTGAGGGTGGGAGGGGGGAGAGTGAGGGTGGGAGGGGAGGGGAGAGGAGGGGAGAGGAGAGTGAGGGTGGGAGGGGAGGGGAGAGGAGAGTGAGGGTGGGAGGGGAGGGGAGAGTGAGGGTGGGAGGGGAGAGTGAGGGTGGGAGGGGAGGGGAGAGGAGAGTGAGGGTGGGAGGGGAGGGGAGAGGAGAGTGAGGGTGGGAGGGGAGGGGAGAGGAGAGTGAGGGTGGGAGGGGAGAGGAGAGTGAGGGTGGGAGGGAGGGGAGAGGAGAGTGAGGGTGGGAGGGGGGAGAGTGAGGGTGGGAGGGGAGGGGAGAGGAGAGTGAGGGTGGGAGGGGAGGGGAGAGGAGAGTGAGGGTGGGAGGGGAGAGGAGAGTGAGGGTGGGAGGGGAGGAGGTGAGGTGGGAGGGGGGGGGGGAGAGTGTGGGTGGGAGGGAGAGGAGAGTGTGGGGGGAGGGGGAGGAGAGTGAGGGTGGGAGGGGGGAGAGTGAGGGTGGGAGGGGGGAGGAGAGTGAGGGTGGGAGGGGGGAGGAGAGTGAGGGTAGGAGGGGGGAGAGTGGGTGGGGGGGGGAGAGTGAGGGTGGGAGGGGGAGAGTGAGGGTGGGAGGGGAGGGGAGAGGAGAGTGAGGGTGGGAGGGGGGAGGAGAGTGAGGGTGGGAGGGGGGAGAGTGAGGGTGGGAGGGGAGAGAGTGAGGGTGGGAGAGGAGGGTGGGAGAGGGGGGAGGAGAGTGAGGGTGGGAGAGGGGGGAGGAGAGTGAGGGTGGGAGGGGAGAGGAGAGTGAGGGTGGGAGGGGAGGGGAGAGGAGGGTGGGAGGGGGGAGAGTGAGGGTGGGAGAGTGAGGGTGGGAGGGGAGAGGAGAGTGAGGGTGGGAGGGGGGAGGAGAGTGAGGGTGGGAGGGGGGAGGAGAGTGAGGGTGGGAGGGGGGAGGAGAGTGAGGGTGGGAGGGGAGAGGAGAGTGAGGGTGGGAGGGGGGAGAATGAGGGTGGGAGGGGAGGGGAGAGAGTGAGGGTGGGAGGGGAGAGAGTGAGGGGGTGAAGGCAGAACTGATGAAGACTCACAAGAGTCCAGAGATGAGGGGGGAGACGGGGGGAGGATGCCCCAGATCTGTGTGTTTGAGTCTTTTGTCTAACCTTCTGACCCCCCTGACCTCTGACCTCTGACCCCTGTCTTCTCTTGCAGGAGGATAGATGTGTCGCCCAGTGCCTTTAAGAGGCACAGCAGTCTGTTTGAGGAGGACGAGGGTGGATCGAAGGTGACAGTGTTTATGTAACGACATGTTCAGAGACAAACACGTGTTCAGATCCTCTGCTTCTCTTTCAAGGATCATTGTCTAAGTCAAAAGTGTTAAAAATAAATCCAATCCAGAGACATTTGTTTATGGTAAAAACCAACCAAAGGAATAATAAGATGCTTCCAACTGCTCTGTGTCCAAGCTGTAAGTATTTCTCTTAAAGAAACACATGCATGTTTAGGGACATGTCCCCATGTCCCACTATGTCCATGTCCCACTATGTCCATGTTACAAGACTGCGGTGGGCTTCATGTGCTTCTGTCTGCATTTCCACCTCTTTACACTAGGGGGCGACTCACTGACTTCACTCTGTCTATTTTCTGTAGGATTCAGGTAAAAAGTTTAAAGGTGACGTGATGGACCTGCGTCTGGACATAGAACGCAGGAAGAGACTGTCCGGGAAAGGAGGAGACAGCCGAGAGAGGTCCTCCGAGAAGACCGGCAAGCACCACAAGAAGTCCAAGTGAGTGTCCCGAGGGGGGGAGGGGGGGAGAGGTCCTGGAGAAGACCGGCAAGCACCACAAGAAGTCCAAGTCAGTGTCCCGAGGTCCTGGAGGGGGGGTCCCGAGGGGGGAGGGGGGGAGAGGTCCTGGAGAAGACCGGCAAGCAGTGCCACGAGAAGAGAAGCACCACAAGTGAGTGTCCCGAGGGGGGGGAGAGGGGGGAGAGGTCCTGGAGAAGACCGGCAAGCACCACAAGAAGTCCAAGAGGGGTCAGTGTCCCGAGGGGGGGGGAGGGGGAGGTCCTCCGAGAAGAGAAGACCGGCAAGCACCACAAGAAGTCCAAGTCAGTGTCCCGAGGGGGGGAGGGGGGTCCTCGAGAAGTCAGTGTCCCGAGGGGGGGAGGGGGTCCTCGAAGTCAGTGTCCCGAGGGGGGGAGGGGTCCTCGAGAAGTCAGTGTCCCGAGGGGGGGGAGGGGTCCTCGAGAAGTCAGTGTCCCGAGGGGGGGAGAGATTCAGATTCAGATTCATTTATTCGCCATTTGCAGTAACACTACATTGGAATACATTAGTAAAAGTTCCCAGTGTGCACAGGACAAGTACAGACACAAAACAACATTAAAAAAAAAATAAAACAGTAAACAAATGTCACTGTGAAATGGATCGACTAAAACAGTTTCAAAACAAGTGCAAATCATTAAAGTGCTCTGTTCACACTGATAACAGCCTGTGGATAAAAACTGTTATAGAGCAATATCTTCTGCCAAAGGGAAGAAGCTGGAACAAGGCTTTTCCTGGGTGGCCAGAAGAGTCATTGATAATTCTCAGGGCACTGTTAAAAAGTCTGGATTTATAAAGAACCTCCAGAACAGGAAGCTCACAGCCCACGGTCCTCTTTGCAGAGCGGAGCACCTTGTTTAAAGCTCTCTTTTCTTTATCTGTGATGTTTCCAAACCACACAGACACAGAACCAACAAGTAAACTCTCAATGGTGCAGCCATAAAAGTTAAGCACAATCTTAGAGTTAGTGGTAAATTATCTAAGTTTACGCAGAAAGTAAAGACGCTGACGAGCTTTCTTAACGACTCAGTGTTTTTAACCCATTTCAGGTTAGACAGAGTTAAACCCAGAAACTTGCTCCTCTACGATCTGCACCTGGGAGTTGTCGATTACGACAGACAAATGAGAACTATTGTGACTGAAGTCGTGACCAGTTCACATGTTTTGGATGCGTTCAACTGGAGGTTGTTAGTTTGACTCCACTGAACCACATTTTGTATCTCTGCTCTATAAGAGGATTCATCAGTGTCACTGATGAGACCGATGATGGTGGTGTCATCAGCATATTTGATGATCAAGTTTGAGTCAGAGGAGGACACACAATCGTGAGTGTACAAAGTAAAAAGCAAAGGACTCAAAATACATCCCTGAGGAGAACCAGTGCTCACAGAAACAACATCAGAAAAACACTCTCTGAGATCTGTCAGTTAAAAAGATAAAAATCCATTTACACATGGCAACACTTAAACCCAGAGACATGAGCTTTTCAATCAGTTTACCTGGGACAAGGCAGTTTACCTGGGACAAGGCAGTTTACCTGGGACAAGGCAGTTTACCTGGGACAAGGCAGTTTACCTGGGACAGGGCAGTTTACCTGGGACAGGGCAGTTTACCTGGGACAGGGCAGTTTACCTGGGACAGGGCAGTTTACCTGGGACAGGGCAGTTTACCTGGGACAGGGCAGTTTACCTGGGACAAGGCAGTTTACCTGGGACAAGGCAGTTTACCTGGGACAAGGCAGTTTACCTGGGACAAGGCAGTTTACCTGGGACAAGGCAGTTAACCTGGGACAGGGCAGTTTACCTGGGACAAGGCAGTTTACCTGGGACAGGGCAGTTTACCTGGGACAGGGCAGTTTACCTGGGACAGGGCAGTTTACCTGGGACAAGGCAGTTTACCTGGGACAGGGCAGTTTACCTGGGACAGGGCAGTTTACCTGGGACAAGGCAGTTTACCTGGGACAAGGCAGTTTACCTGGGACAGGGCAGTTTACCTGGGACAAGGCAGTTTACCTGGGACAGGGCAGTTTACCTGGGACAAGGCAGTTTACCTGGGACAGGGCAGTTTACCTGGGACAGGGCAGTTTACCTGGGACAAGGCAGTTTACCTGGGACAAGGCAGTTAACCTGGGACAGGGCAGTTAAAAGCAGAGCTATAATGGATGAAAAGCATTCTGGCCACAGATTTCCTAGTGTCCAAGTGACTGTAGACAGAGTTCAGAGCAAAGGAGATGCATCCTCCACACTCCTGTTCTGTCTGTAGCAAACTGGAGCGGGTCCACACTCCTGTTCTGTCTGTAGCAAACTGGAGCGGGTCAACACTCACAGGGTTCTGGCTCTTAATGAAGTCCAGCACAAGCCGCTCAAAAGTCTTCATAAGAACAGACGTGAGAGCCACAGGACGATAGTCATTCAGGCATGTCACAGGAGTTTTCTTAGGAACTGGAATGATGGTGGACTCTTTAAAGCAGTTCGGCACAGTACAGTTCCTTAGCGACAGGTTGAAAATGTCTGTTAGCACAGGGGCAAGTTGCTCAGAGCACAGTTTCAGGACACGAGGAGGGATGCCGTCCGGGCCTGGGGCTTTCCGGACTGTGGTCCTGGACAAGACACGCCTGACTTCCTCCTGAGTCACGGTGAAGGTACCTTGATTGAAACACTCAGAGAATACAGTAGGACAGGCATCAGCGGATTCAAAGCGACAGTAGAACGAGTTCAGCTCATTAGGCAGAGCTTGGCCGACAGATCCGATATTCCCAGCACTAGGTTTCCACGATGTGATGGCTTTAATACCGTTCCACATGCGCCGAGGGTCATCTTCCTTGAAATAACCCTTTAACCTGTCCCCGTAACTGCGCTTTGCAGATTTAATAGAACGTTTCAATGAGTAACAGGATAGCTTATAAGCAACTGCATCATTTGATTGAAACGCCAACGCACGCTCATGAAGTTTCAGTTTCACTTCCGCGTTCATCCAAGGGTTTTGACTAAAATGTTCTTTAATGACCTTCTGTGGGACACAGCAGTCAATACAGAAGCGTATGTATCCAGACACAGCGTCACAGAATTCATTAACATCCTCTGACTGAAACACAGACCAGTCCGTAGCATCAAAACAACCTTGTAGCTTCATGCTAGCCTCCTCAGACCAACACTGCACAGTGCGAGAGGTTGGTTTATGTTCCCTGCTCCTCTGAGTATACGAAGGAAGAAGGAGAACAGAGGAGTGGTCAGACTTTCCAAAAGGAGGTCTGAGACTGGACCTGTAAGCTCCCTTCACGTTACTGTAGCAGTGATCCAGAACATGTGCTCCTCTTGTAGCTCGAGTCACATGTTGGTAAAAGTTCGGGAGTACAGTCTTTAAATTACATTTGTTAAAATCCCCAGCGACAATGATCACTGCGTTAGGATGAACAGACTCATGTTTGTGAAGGATCTGGCTCAGATCCTGTAGTGCTACTTTGTAATCCGCACGTGGGTGAATGTAAACAGCACATACAAATATCACTGAAAACTCACGGGGAAGATAAAAAGGGCGACAGCTCAAGACCAGGCATTCCAGATTGGCAGTACATGTTTGGTTCACGACTCGAGTGTCCGTGCACCAGCGCTGATTAATTAAAAAGCACACACCTCCGCCTCTGGCCTTGCCCGTGGTCTCCTTCACTCTGTCCGAGCGGTGAGCGGTGAATCCCGGGGGCTGAACAGCAGAGTCTGGGACGTTCCAGTGGAGCCACGTCTCTCTGAGACAGAACACAGTCCCGGGCCTCGCGCTGGCTCTGGACCCGACACAAGAGCCCGTCCGTCTTATTGGGCAGAGACTGTACATTCGCCAGGTAGATGGAGGGCAAAGGGGTCCTGCAGGAGCGGCATCTCACGAGCAGACCGCCTCGTTTTCCCCGGTGTCTGCGCCTCCTACGTCGGCTCCCGGTACCCAGCTCCACACCGCGGAGAGAACGCCGGAGACGCCCAGTCCCCTCGCTCTGTTCGCGGCCATTGCCGCGGCCCGCCTGCCATGTCTGACGGGCCTCACGAGTGGGACACTCAATGAAGTCCGAGCACCTCAGGTCGGGTAAGACCTGCGATACTCCGCAAGCTCGGTCCCGAATGTGGAGAAGTGTCTCTGGGTCGTACCTCACGGTGGCAAGTGTATCACAGACGAACAACATGGAACAGACAGTGCACACCAGAGCTCTTACTGAGGCGCCCTGACCCGGCGCCATCTTGCTCTCGCTCTCTCTCGCCGGTCTTCTCCAGAGGTCCTGGAGAAGACCGGCGAGCACCACAAGTCAGTGTCTTGATGGGGGAGGAGGGGGGAGAGAATAAAACTGATGAAGTGTGTTTTTTGTTGACAGAAAAGCAAAGAAGAAGCGAGACCGGTCTCCCTCGTCCTCCTCCTCCTCCTCCTCCCCCTCCCCCTATCCCCCCCCCTACAGAGGGAAGGAGTACGAGGGCCCCATGGAGCACCAGGACGAGGGCTATCACCAGAGATACCCCCCCCACAACTACGGCCCCGGAGACAACAGAGGGCCCCGGGACTTCGAGGGCCACGGCATGGAGAGGGGCCGCGGCAGAGGATTTGTACGTCACACACACAGCAACACACTCACACACAGCAACACACACAGCAACACGCTCACTCAAAGCATCACACACAGCAACACACTCACACACAGCAACACACACAGCAACACACTCACACACAGCAACACACACAGCAACACGCTCACACAAAGCATCACACACAGCAACACGCTCACACAAAGCATCACACACAGCAACACACTCACACAAAGCATCACACACAGCAACACGCTCACTCAAAGCATCACACACAGCAACACACTCACACAAAGCATGACACAAAGCATCACACACAGCAACACACTCACACAAAGCATGACACAAAGCATCACACACAGCAACACACTCACACAAAGCATCACACACAGCAACACACTCACTCAAAGCATCACACACAGCAACACACTCACACAAAGCATCACACACAGCAACACACTCACTCAAAGCATCACACACAGCAACACACTCACACAAAGCATCACACACAGCAACACACTCACACAAAGCATCACACACAGCAACACACTCACTCAAAGCATCACACACAGCAACACACTCACACAAAGCATGACACAAAGCATCACACACAGCAACACACTCACACAAAGCATCACACACAGCAACACACTCACACAAAGCATCACACACAGCAACACGCTCACTCAAAGCATCACACACAGCAACACACTCACACAAAGCATCACACACAGCAACACACTCACACAAAGCATCACACACAGCAACACACTCACACAAAGCATGACACAAAGCAACACACTCACACAAAGCATGACACAAAGCATCACACACAGCAACACACTCACACAAAGCATCACACACAGCAACACACTCACACAAAGCATCACACACAGCAACACACTCACACAAAGCATCACACACAGCAACACACTCACACAAAGCATCACACACAGCAACACACTCACTCAAAGCACCACGCACACACACACAGAAACACACTCCCGAGTCCAGCGGGTCTTCTACTCCCACCCTAACCCAGAGTAATGTGTGTGGTTCCCAGAGTAATGTGTGTGGTTCCCCAGAGTAATGTGTGTAGTTCCCAGAGTAATGTGTGTGGTTCCCAGAGTAATGTGTGTGGTTCCCCAGAGTAATGTGTGTAGTTCCCAGAGTAATGTGTGTAGTTCCCAGAGTAATGTGTGTGGTTCCCCAGAGTAATGTGTGTGGTTCCCAGAGTAATGTGTGTGGTTCCCAGAGTAATGTGTGTGGTTCCCAGAGTAATGTGTGTGGTTCCCAGAGTAATGTGTGTAGTTCCCAGAGTAATGTGTGTGGTTCCCCAGAGTAATGTGTGTAGTTCCCCAGAGTAATGTGTGTAGTTCCCCAGAGTAATGTGTGTGTGGTTCCCAGAGTAATGTGTGTGTGGTTCCCAGAGTAATGTGTGTTGTGTGTGGTTCCCCAGAGTAATGTGTGTTGTGTGTAGTTCCCCAGAGTAATGTGTGTTGTGTGTAGTTCCCCAGAGTAATGTGTGTGTTGTGTGTAGTTCCCCAGAGTAATGTGTGTGTTGTGTGTGGTTCCCCAGAGTAATGTGTGTGTTGTGTGTGGTTCCCCAGAGTAATGTGTGTGTTGTGTGTAGTTCCCCAGAGTAATGTGTGTGTTGTGTGTAGTTCCCCAGAGTAATGTGTGTGTTGTGTGTAGTTCCCCAGAGTAATGTGTGTGTTGTGTGTAGTTCCCCAGAGTAATGTGTGTGTTGTGTGTAGTTCCCCAGAGTAATGTGTGTGTTGTGTGTAGTTCCCCAGAGTAATGTGTGTGTTGTGTGTAGTTCCCCAGAGTAATGTGTGTTGTGTGTAGTTCCCCAGAGTAATGTGTGTGTTGTGTGTAGTTCCCCAGAGTAATGTGTGTGTTGTGTGTAGTTCCCCAGAGTGATGTGTGTAGTTCCCCAGAGTAATGTGTGTGTTGTGTGTAGTTCCCCAGAGTAATGTGTGTGTTGTGTGTAGTTCCCCAGAGTGATGTGTGTTGTGTGTAGTTCCCCAGAGTGATGTGTGTTGTGTGTGGTTCCCCAGAGTAATGTGTGTTGTGTGTAGTTCCCCAGAGTAATGTGTTGTGTGTAGTTCCCCAGAGTAATGTGTGTGTTGTGTGTAGTTCCCCAGAGTAATGTGTTGTGTGTAGTTCCCCAGAGTAATGTGTGTGTTGTGTGTGGTTCCCCAGAGTAATGTGTGTGTGGTTCCCAGAGTAATGTGTGTTGTGTGTGGTTCCCCAGAGTAATGTGTGTTGTGTGTAGTTCCCCAGAGTAATGTGTGTGTTGTGTGTAGTTCCCCAGAGTAATGTGTGTGTTGTGTGTAGTTCCCCAGAGTAATGTGTGTGTTGTGTGTAGTTCCCCAGAGTAATGTGTGTGTTGTGTGTAGTTCCCCAGAGTGATGGTGTGTGTTGTGTGTGGTTCCCCAGAGTAATGTGTGTTGTGTGTGGTTCCCCAGAGTAATGTGTTGTGTGTAGTTCCCCAGAGTAATGTGTGTGTTGTGTGTAGTTCCCCAGAGTAATGTGTGTGTTGTGTGTGGTTCCCCAGAGTAATGTGTGTTGTGTGTGGTTCCCCAGAGTAATGTGTTGTGTGTAGTTCCCCAGAGTAATGTGTGTGTTGTGTGTAGTTCCCCAGAGTAATGTGTGTGTTGTGTGTAGTTCCCCAGAGTGATGTGTGTTGTGTGTAGTTCCCCAGAGTGATGTGTGTTGTGTGTGGTTCCCCAGAGTAATGTGTTGTGTGTAGTTCCCCAGAGTAATGTGTGTGTTGTGTGTAGTTCCCCAGAGTAATGTGTTGTGTGTAGTTCCCCAGAGTAATGTGTGTGTTGTGTGTGGTTCCCCAGAGTAATGTGTGTGTTGTGTGTAGTTCCCCAGAGTAATGTGTGTGTTGTGTGTAGTTCCCCAGAGTAATGTGTGTGTTGTGTGTAGTTCCCCAGAGTAATGTGTTGTGTGTAGTTCCCCAGAGTAATGTGTGTGTTGTGTGTGGTTCCCCAGAGTAATGTGTGTGTGGTTCCCAGAGTAATGTGTGTTGTGTGTGGTTCCCCAGAGTAATGTGTGTTGTGTGTAGTTCCCCAGAGTAATGTGTGTGTTGTGTGTAGTTCCCCAGAGTAATGTGTGTGTTGTGTGTAGTTCCCCAGAGTAATGTGTGTGTTGTGTGTAGTTCCCCAGAGTAATGTGTGTTGTGTGTAGTTCCCCAGAGTAATGTGTGTGTTGTGTGTAGTTCCCCAGAGTAATGTGTGTGTTGTGTGTAGTTCCCCAGAGTAATGTGTGTTGTGTGTAGTTCCCCAGAGTAATGTGTGTGTTGTGTGTAGTTCCCCAGAGTAATGTGTTGTGTGTAGTTCCCCAGAGTAATGTGTGTGTTGTGTGTGGTTCCCCAGAGTAATGTGTGTGTTGTGTGTAGTTCCCCAGAGTAATGTGTGTGTTGTGTGTAGTTCCCCAGAGTAATGTGTGTGTTGTGTGTAGTTCCCCAGAGTAATGTGTTGTGTGTAGTTCCCCAGAGTAATGTGTGTGTTGTGTGTGGTTCCCCAGAGTAATGTGTGTGTGGTTCCCAGAGTAATGTGTGTTGTGTGTGGTTCCCCAGAGTAATGTGTGTTGTGTGTAGTTCCCCAGAGTAATGTGTGTGTTGTGTGTAGTTCCCCAGAGTAATGTGTGTGTTGTGTGTAGTTCCCCAGAGTAATGTGTGTGTTGTGTGTAGTTCCCCAGAGTAATGTGTGTTGTGTGTAGTTCCCCAGAGTAATGTGTGTGTTGTGTGTAGTTCCCCAGAGTAATGTGTGTGTTGTGTGTAGTTCCCCAGAGTAATGTGTGTTGTGTGTAGTTCCCCAGAGTAATGTGTGTGTAGTTCCCCAGAGTAATGTGTGTGTAGTTCCCCAGAGTAATGTGTGTGTTGTGTGTAGTTCCCCAGAGTGCGTGGTCGTGGATGGAACAGGGGGAACTTTCAGGGGAACAGCAGTAATGGGAACCCCCCCAACATGAACCCTCAGCAGCGCCCCCCAGAGGAGGAGTGGGACCCGGAGTACACCCCCAAGAGCCGCAAGTACTACCTGGTACGTGACATCACAACTGTACCACTGTCCTCACTCTGAGGCCCTGTGAGCTGTGTGACCTCTGACCTCTTGTTCGCAGCACGATGACCTCTGACCTCTTGTTCGCAGCACGATGACCGTGACGGGGAAAAGTCGTGGGCGGAGAACCGCGGTCGAGGACGCGGCGCTTTCCCAAACCGCAGGGGACGCTTCGTTTACCGCAAGGGGGGGGGCGGGGCCAGCCCCAAGTGGACCCACGACATGTACCAGGGGGGGGAGGAGGGGGAGATCCACGACGAGGGGGGGGAGGAGAAGGGCCAGGGCGACACCAAGGCCTGACCCCAGACCAGACCTGACGACCTGACGACCTCTGACCCCAGACCTTCTGACCCCTGACCCCCCTCTTGGATCATTCTGAAACAGTCTAGTGTTGATAGAAATGTGCTTTTTTTGTAAAATTGCCTCAAAAATCACATGTTTGGGTTAAACTCAATCTTTTACTTTCATAAAACATACAAGGTTGACCTCTCTCTCTCCTCTCTCTCCTTCTCTTCTCTCTTCTCTCTCTCCTTCTCTCTCTCCTTCTCTCTCCTTCTCTCTCTCCCCTCTCCCCCCCCCTCCCCTCCTAATATCTGACTTATGTGTCCATGTAATAGTTTGAAGCTGCTGAGTCTGAGGTGATTTTAAAGCTGTTCTGTAAAACACATGTTTCATTTTTAGTGAATCTTTTTTTTTTTTACAGCTTTGAACGTTTTAATTTACAATAAACTTTGATTTACACCAATTCTGCGTCTGATTCTTATTATTTTGAGACCTCTGGTCTCTCTCTGTTATGTCTTTCTGGTCTCTCTCTGGTCTCTCTCTCTGGTCTCTCTCTGGTCTCTCTCTGGTCTCTCTCTGGTCTCTCTCTCTGGTCTCTCTCTGGTCTCTCTCTGGTCTCTCTCTCTGGTCTCTCTCTCTGGTCTCTCTGGTCTCTCTCTGGTCTCTCTCTCTGGTCTCTCTCTGGTCTCTCTCTCTGGTCTCTCTCTAGTGTCTCTCTCTGGTCTCTCTCTCTGGTCTCTCTCTGGTCTCTCTCTGGTCTCTCTCTGTTCTGTCTTTCTCTCTCTCTGGTCTCTCTCTGGTGTCTCTGGTCTCTGGACCGCAGACTGGTGTAGTATCTGAGACCGGCTTTAGGTCTTAAGACTACACTCTCAAAAACGTGTTTCTACATTTTGATTTAGTCCAGAGAGAGAGACACTGGGACAGGAGGACTGGACCATGAGCGAAGGGGACTAGAACCCACTGCTCACATGTTGCTGGTACATCAAGGGGAGAGAGGAGAAACAAAATAAAGAAAATCACATTTTTTTTTGCAAATGATGTAAAATAAGTATTTGGTCGAAAACAAAAGTTCATGTCAATACTTTATTTATTCCTTTGTTGCAAAGACAGATGTTTTCTGTGAGTCTGGGTTTGACAAACTGCTGCTGATATTTTGGCCCATTCCTCCTGCAGATCTCTGGTCTAAAGACTCAATTGTGTCATTGTCCACTATCTGCAGCTTTTCCTCTGTGTGTGTGTGTGTGTGTGTGTGAGATGCTGCATCAGAGACTTTGTGTGTCATGAACAGTGTGTTTGTGTGTCATGAACAGTGTTTGTGTGTCATGAACAGTGTGTTTGTGTGTCATGAACAGTGTGTAGTTGTGTGATGAACAGTGTGTAGTTGTGTGATGAACAGTGTGTTTGTGTGTCATGAACAGTGTGTTTGTGTCATGAACAGTGTGTTTGTCATGAACAGTGTGTTTGTGTGTCATGAACAGTGTGTTTGTGTGTCATGAACAGTGTGTTTGTGTGTCATGAACAGTGTGTAGTTGTGTGATGAACAGTGTGTTTGTGTCATGAACAGTGTGTTTGTGTGTCATGAACAGTGTGTTTGTGTGTCATGAACAGTGTGTTTGTGTTTGTGTGTCATGAACAGTGTGTAGTTGTGTGATGAACAGTGTGTTTGTCATGAACAGTGTGTTTGTGTGTCATGAACAGTGTGTTTGTGTCATGAACAGTGTGTTTGTGTGTCATGATCAGTGTGTTTGTGTCATGAACAGTGTGTAGTTGTGTGTCATGAACAGTGTGTATCCATCAGTTGTAGCAGATCTTCTCTTCTGTCACAAACTTCAGAATCTTCTGTTTCTGAAAACTGCCTCGAGATGAAAGAAAGATCTGACACATCCTAGAGACACACACACACACACACAGAGACACAGATACACACACACAGAGACACACGCACACAGAGACACAGATACACACACACAGAGAGACACAGACACACGCACACAGAGACACAGACACACGCACACAGAGACACAGACACACGCACACAGAGACACAGATACACACACACAGAGAGACACAGACACACACACAGAGACACAGACACACACACACACAGAGACACAGACACACGCACACAGAGACACAGACACACACGCACACAGAGAGACACAGACACACGCACACAGAGACACAGACACATGCACACAGAGAGACACAGACACACGCACACAGAGACACAGACACACGCACACAGAGAGACACAGACACACGCACACAGAGACACAGACACACACACACAGAGACACAGACACACGCACACAGAGACACAGACACACACACACAGAGACACAGACACACGCACACAGAGAGACACAGACACACGCACACAGAGACACAGACACACACACACACAGAGACACAGACACACGCACACAGAGACACAGACACACACACACAGAGACACAGACACACGCACACAGAGAGACACAGACACACACACACAGAGACACAGACACACACACACAGAGAGACACAGACACACGCACACAGAGACACAGACACACGCACACAGAGACACAGACACACACACACAGAGAGACAGACACACACACACACAGAGACACAGACACACGCACACAGAGACACAGATACACACACACAGAGAGACACAGACACACGCACACAGAGACACAGACACACACACACAGAGACACAGACACACGCACACAGAGAGACACAGACACACGCACACAGAGAGACACAGACACACGCACACAGAGACACAGATACACACACACACAGAGACACAGACACACACACACAGAGACACAGACACACACACACAGAGAGACACAGACACACGCACACAGAGACACAGACATACACACACACAGAGAGACACAGACACACGCACACAGAGACACAGACACACGCACACAGAGACACAGACACACACACACAGAGACACAGACACACGCACACAGAGAGACACAGACACACGCACACAGAGACACAGATACACACACACAGAGAGACACAGACACACGCACACAGAGACACAGACACACACACACAGAGACACAGACACACGCACACAGAGAGACACAGACACACGCACACAGAGACACAGATACACACACACAGAGAGACACAGACACACGCACACAGAGACACAGATACACACACAGAGAGACACAGACACACACAGAGAGACACAGACACACACTTATGTCAGAAAAAGTTACATTCATGAGACTAATAAAGGTTTATCTTATCTTACATCACATACTTCAGAGAGCGATAGTTTCACATGTTGGTGGAGCAGCTGAAACATCTCTCCTGGACTTCTATGGTCACTATGGTAACCACGGTCACTATGGCAACCACAGTCACTAAGGTAACCACGGTCAGTATGGTAACCACGGTCACTATGGTAACCACAGTCACTATGGTCACTATGGTAACTACGGTAACCATGGTAGCTATGGTCACTATGGTAACACACTATTTCACCTTAAACTAATGGACACGTTTTTAGTGGTGGGGAAACCTACACAACCACAGGGAGAACATGCAAACTCCACAAATAAAGGTCTGGAGCTGGGATCAAACCCAGGACCTCTCTGCTCTGCTCTGGGACTGTCCCACTGACAGCCTTTACCTTAATAAGTAAGACTGGGATCCATTCTGACATTGCTCTGGGACTGTCCCAACTTGAGAAAAAGCTGTGTCAGCATTTTCAACGCATTGAAATTAAAGGGAAAAGAAGTCGGAAAGTGCCGGTTCTTTTGACTCCTGAAATGATTGCTTGGATGGAGGTGCTGGTGGAGAACAGAAGGGCCTGTTCCATCTCTGACCATAACCCATACTTCTTTTCCCGCCCGGGCGCAGACACCCACATCAGGGGATCAGACTCCCTACGCCAGGTAGCCAAAGAATGTGGTGCGGTGCATCCAGAGATGCTATCCTCAACCAAACTTAGAAAGCACATAGCTACTATGTCTACAGTTCTCAATATGAAAGAGAATGAGATGGACATACTTGCCAACTTCCTCGGCCATGACATTCGCATCCACAGGCAATATTACAGACTACCAGAGGGGACACTGGAGCTGGCCAAAATCAGCAAAGTGTTGATGGCCATGGAGCAGGGAAGAGTGACGGAATTCGAAGGAAAGAGCCTCGACCAGATACAAATTGAGCCTGAAGGTAATTCTTGATATTATTAAAATATGTATGATTTTTTTCCCCTAAAGGCCACTTGTATTTTTTATTTTCTGTGCGACAGGGAGAGCAGTAGAGATCCTCTCACAAACGGACGGGCTAAAAGAAACTTCAAGCGGAGAACCTTCAACCATTCATCCAGATGCACCCCATGGTAGTGGCAGTGCCCCTTCTGGTAAGTGTACCAGGTGGGGGATTACAGCCAGGCTGCTTGGTCCTCACCCTGGGAGTGTATATTGCTAATATATTTTTATTTCTCTCCCTAGAACGTGTAAGAAAGCCATGGTCTGCATCTGAGGTGAAGGCTGTGGAGAAGACCATGACACCTTTCATACAGACTGGAAAGGTCCCTGGGAAGTCTCACTGCCTGGCCTGGCCTGGCCTGGCCTGCATTAATGCCTCACCAGATGACCTTAGACATCGGACATGGAGTGGCATTAAATTCTATGTCAAAAATAGAATCACTGCAATTCGAAAAAAAAATCACAAACAAAATCTTATAAAAGAGTTGTTTGTTTTGTATTACTTAAAGTGGTCCCAGTAAGAAAATCAGTCATTCTAAAATAAAGCAAGATTTTAGGAGTTAAAACCATTGGAACGGCCCTGTCTTAGGGACCCACCAGGTAACAAAAACCTGTATGTGTGTGTACCTGCAGGGCCTGGATGTGGATCTCTGCCCACGGCTCGGCTCCTCCCACTGCCGCTCTGAAAACACACACACTAGCTTTAAATACCAGAGAAGGAGCAGCATCTGTAGTCAGAGCTCCCTGTAACTCACTATTCTGCCACCAGGGGGAGAGAGAGACCAGAATAAAGTGCTCACGCTTCATCCTCCTCTCGGTCGCTGGGGAATAGATTGATCCTGAAGCTCTTCACTGGACCTGACCCAGACCCAGACCCAGACCCAGACCCAGACCCAGACTGGAGGGTCCCCATGAGACGCGACAGCAGGTTCAGCTCGTCTTTGGCCACAGCCTTCAGTCTGGACTCAGTCTGCAGAGGAAGCAACAGTGTCATGAAGACTCAGATTCATGTTTTTTCCATTTGCAGTAAAACTACATTGGAATACATCCGCCTGAGTCCCCAGTGTACACATAAAACAAGCATAAAAGTACAGAAGTAAAACAAAACAGGAAACAATTGACTGATGCATGTTAGCATGTCCTGCATCTCAGCCAACAATATCTTCTACCAGAGGGAAGAAGCTGGAACATGGCTTTCCCAGAGGCTAGACGAGTCATTGATTATTCTAAGAGCTCGGTTTAACAGTCCGGATTTATAAAGAACCTCTAGAACAGGAAGCTCTGGTCTTTCTCTCTGGTCTCTCTCTGGTCTCTCTCTGGTCTCTCTCTGGTCTCTCTCTGGTCTCGCTCTCTGGTCTCTCTCTGGTCTCTCTCTGGTCTCTCTCTGGTCTCTCTCTGGTCTCTCTCTGGTCTCTCTCTGGTCTTGCTCTCTGGTCTCTCTCTGGTCTCTCTCTGGTCTCTCTCTGGTCTCTCTCTGGTCTCTCTCTGGTCTCGCTCTCTGGTCTCTCTCTGGTCTCTCTCTGGTCGCTCTCTGGTCTCTCTCTGGTCTCTCTCTGGTCTCTCTCTGGTCGCTCTCTGGTCTCTCTCTGGTCTCTCTCTGGTCTCTCTCTGGTCTCTCTCTCTGGTCTCTCTCTGGTCTCTCTCTGGTCTCTCTCTGGTCTCTCTCTGGTCTCTCTCTGGTCTCTCTCTCTCTGGTCTCTGGTATATTGCTGTGTGTGTAGATGTGTGTGTGTGGGTGTGTATGTACCAGTGGCGGCCGGCCAATAGAGGGCGCTAGGGCGCCGCCCCACCACTCACAACTTGCCATGTTACCTTTTTTTACGTTAAAAAAAATAATAACATTAAAATATTTCGAAATTTATGTGTGTTTTATTTCAGATGTGGAAGAAATACTTTATAGTTTATGCTGAGTTGGATTGATTAAGCTCATCAGCGTTGTCTGTGTCGGACTGAGGACGTATTTCCGCCGTCTATGGACTCTCGTTAAAAGTTGTACATGCGCAGTAGCTCCTCTTCAATGCAAGAGATAAGACGATTTGGGGGCGCAGGAGAAGTGCGCCCTGAGGGGGCGGGATCGCCCGCGACCTGTACTGTCACTGTCTGTGACGTCCGTTTACAGTGATTGACAGGTCAAGCTGTGGGAGTTTGAGACGAACGTAAAGAGACGCAAAATGGAGAACGAGAGAAAAAGAATAATTCAGTTAGATCACTCAAAACAATACCGTTTGAGAGAAGATCATACCAGGAGAAGGTTGAGGTTAAAGAGCTTGGACCTGATCAGCCAAATATTACCATTAGTCTAATTTAGTCAGCAGTCCAGCGACAGGGGAGACGGTGCACTCGTACTTTTTCCAGGACCTGGTTCAGCGCCAAATCTTGGCTAGCAGCATGTAGCGAGGCTAATGCTTTATTTTGCTTTCCATGCCTCTTGTTTCAAACATCAGGATCTGACCCAGCATGGATCAAGACAGGTATGACTGATCTGAAGCACTTTTTAGAAAAGGCAAAGAAGCATGAGTAGACTGGTATCCACATGCAAAATGCCCTCAAATTAGCTATGTTTGGGAAGATAAATATTTCATCCCAGCTGGATGAAAGCTACAGGGTAGGGATCAGAAAGCATCCCTACCCTGCTGGTATATATCTAGTCATCATATTCATAGCCCCCCCAGTAGAAAATTCCACCAGCCGCCACTGGTATGTACATGTATGTGTGTGTGTAGATGTGTGTGTGTGTGTGTATGTACATGTATGTGTGTGTGTAGATGTGTGTGTGTGTGTATGTACATGTATGTGTGTGTGTGGGTGTATCAGTGGGGGCGGGTCCCGGCTCAAAAGTGGCCAAAATGACGTGCGCTGACATGCTGCAGTACCACCCCGGGCCTGTGGGGGTGGACCCTGACATGCTGCAGTACCACCCCGGGCCTGTGGGGGTGGACCCTGACATGCTGCAGTACCACCCCGGGCCTGTGGGGGTGGACCCTGACATGCTGCAGTACCACCCCGGGCCTGTGGGGGTGGACCCTGACATGCTGCAGTACCACCCCAGGCCTGTGGGGGTGGACCCTGACATGCTGCAGTACCACCCCGGGCCTGTGGGGGTGGACCCTGACATGCTGCAGTACCACCCCGGGCCTGTGGGGGTGGACCCTGACATGCTGCAGTACCACCCCGGGCCTGTGGGGGTGGACCCAGAATAAGAATTAGCCAATGCTAACATATAGCATCTTCTTACCTCTGGAAAACGTCTTTACAGGATGGTCCAAAGTTGGCTCTTGGCCCAAAGCTCCGTTCCACATGTGTGTCAATGCTGAGTGTTCTGGACCAGTCTAGTTTAGTCGCTGTGGACTTTAGAAGTCTCTCGTTTAAATGAATGGAGCTCTCTCTGGCTGACGCATGCGCAGATGTGTTTTTTCACAATTTCCTTGTGGGCGGGGCCACTCGCGGCCATCTTGGATAGCTCCAGTAGAGCACAATCTTGGCCCATTAGTTTGAACGGTGCAGATAGGCCTGACTCTGTCTGTAAATACAGTCTATGCTGTAGACCCAGGACTGAGGCTGTAGACCTAGGACTGTAGACCCAGGACTGTAGACCCAGGACTGTAGACCCAGGACTGTAGACCCAGGACTGTAGACCCAGGACTGTAGACCCAGGACTGTAGACCCAGGACTGTAGACCCAGGACTGTAGACCCAGGACTGTAGACCCAGGACTGTAGACCCAGGACTGTAGACCCAGGACTGAGGCTGTAATTGGCTCCTCTATTGTTAGAGGTGTTAAGATCCCAGGAGCCACTGTTCGGTGCTTCCCTGGGGCCAGGCTTGGTGATATTGAAGGGAATCTGAGGCTCATGATGACCCACAAGCAGCGTTTCCGTCGAATTGTTATTCACGCGGGTGGTAATGACGTTCGGCGGAAACAGTCCGAGGTGTTGAAGCTGCAAGTCGCCGCCGTGTGCAAGCTGGCTAGCACAATGGCCGACACTGTCATCTTCTCTGGGCCCCTACCTAGCACAATGGCCGACACTGTCATCTTCTCTGGGCCCCTACCTAGCACTAGCACAATGGCCGACACTGTCATCTTCTCTGGGCCCCTACCTAGCACAATGGCCGACACTGTCATCTTCTCTGGGCCCCTACCTAGCACAATGGCCGACACTGTCATCTTCTCTGGGCCCCTACCTAGCACAATGGCCGACACTGTCATCTTCTCTGGGCCCCTACCTAGCACAATGGCCGACACTGTCATCTTCTCTGGGCCCCTACCTAGCACAATGGCCGACACTGTCATCTTCTCTGGGCCCCTACCTAGCACTAGCAGTGCAGAAGCATTCAGCAGACACTCGGCTTTCAACCGCTGGCTGTCTGGCTGGTGCCCTCCAAGTGGTGTTGTTCATGTTGACAATTGGAGTGCCTTTTGTGGAAAGCCCGGTCTCATCCGCTCGGATGATATCCACCCAACGTTGGCGGGTACATCCCTTTTGGCTACGAATTTGGCCCTGGCTCTAAACTGTTCTGCTCGGCTCAAATGACGATGCAGAACTGAGGCCCGGGTGCAGAGCTGCTCTGCCACAACCTCTGAGCCCCCATCTGTTCAGTTACTAGCCTCAGAAGCTAGTCAGATTGAAACTGTGTGTGCATGTGTGTGTGTGCCTGTGTGTGCTCAGTTACTAGCCTCAGAACCTAGTCAGATTGAAACTGTGTGTGCATGTGTGTGTGTGTGTGTGCCTGTGTGTGTGTGTGTGTGTGTGTTCAGTTACTAGCCTCAGAAGCTAGTCAGATTGAAACTGTGTGTGCATGTGTGTGTGTGCCTGTGTGCCTGTGTGTGTTCAGTTACTAGCCTCAGAGGCTAGTCAGACTGAAACTGTGTGTGCGTGTGTGTGTGTGTGCCTGTGTGTGCTCAGTTACTAGCCTCAGAAGCTAGTCAGATTGAAACTGTGTGTGTTCCCCGCTTGAAGTCTAAAGCACTATATGAGGAAATCTGACCTAGGTGTCAGACACAGTAACTTAATAAAAGTTCAGACAGAAATAGTTCTAACAGTAGGGTTGTTAAATGTGGTTTAATGAACGTCAGGTCAATCTCGTCTAAATCGCTTCTCATAAACGAACTTATTATAGACAAGGGCTTGGATTTGTTTGAGCTCTCGGAGACTTGGCTCCAACAGGACGACTACGTTAGATTGAATGAGTGCACTCCTCCGACGCATGTTAACTACCAGAAAGCCAGAGCTACAGGTCGCGGCGGTGGTGTTGCGATTATATCACACACCAACTTAGTTCTTAGCCCCAAAACCAACAACGCTTTTCACTCGTTTGAAAACTAAAAGCAGTACTATTTATAGTTTTATACCAACCTCCTGGTCCTTACAGCGAGTTCCTAACAGAATTCTCTGACTTCATTTCAAACCTAGTTTTGGAATGGGAAAACATAGTTATAGCTGGAGACTTCAATATACATGTGGACGACAGCACTGACAGCTTAAACAAAGCTTTCAGCGCCGTACTAGATGGTGTTGGTTTTACTCAGAATGTTGAGGAACCTACTCACATTCATAACCACACCTTGGACCTTGTCCTGACCTACGGCTGTGATGTCTCCAATGTTGACATCCAGCGTCAAAGCTCGTTGCTGTCTGACCATTTCTTGATCACGTTTGATCTCGCTTTGGAGGACTTTCCTGTCCCGCAAGATAAAACCATAATGAAAAGAACCTTAAATGATAAATCTATCACAAGGTTCAAAGAACTAATACAGCCTATGTTGAATACTGCTGCAGGTGAACCTGTTCACAGCAGCTGCAGTCCCTCAGTCATTGACCAAACGGTGGGCAACACTATGGAGTCTTTAAAATCTGCATTAAATGCAGCAGCTCCTTTAAAACAGAAAACTATTAGGATTAGATCATCGTCGCCCTGGTACAGTGTTCAACTCCACACTTTAAAACAGGACGTCAGAAAATTGGAGAGGCTATATCGCCACTCCCACTCGGAGCCTGTCCACAGGGAGTGGAAAGCAGGTCTCCGAAACTACAAGAAGGCCCTTCGCAGGGCTCGAACTCAATACTATTCAACTTTAATAGAAGCCAATAAAAATAACAGTAGATTTTTGTTTAGCACCGTCGCTAAACTCACAAACTGCCATAGCGCAATCGAGCCTAAAATTCCAAGCTCACTGAGCAGTGTCGACTTTCTCCATTTCTTTAATAATAAAATGACATCCATCCGTGACAAACTGGAGGAGGTTGCTCCTGCTGTTGGTAGTGGACAGGTTGAAGCGGCATACGTGACTTCCCACTTAGACTCTTCAGTGGAGGAGGTTGCTCCTGCTGTTGGTAGTGGACAGGCTGAAGCGGCATACGTGACTTCCCACTTAGACTCTTCAGTGGGCCTCGATAAATTCATGGCTGTGAGCCAAGCAGAGGTGATCTCTGTGGTCACATCCTCAAAAGCCTCAACTTGCATGTTAGACGCAGTCCCGACATGGCTCTTCAAAGACATACTTCCTTTGATAATTGAGCCTATCGTAAATATAATAAACGCAATCCGTACAATGTCCCACAAGCTTTTAAAACCGCGGTAATCAAACCCCTTCTGAAGAAAACAAACCTGGACCCAGAAATACTTACAAACTACAGACCGATCTCAAACCTCACTTTTATATCTAAAATCCTGGAAAAACTTATAGCTGAGCAGCTCCGCTGCCACCTGCAGGAAAATGATATGTTTGAAGTCTTTCAATCAGGATTCAGAGCTCATCATAGCACTGAAACGGCACTAGTCAAAGTCACAAATGACTTACTACTAGCTGCCGATAATGGACAAGTGTCAGTGCTGGTCCTACTGGACCTTAGTGCTGCATTTGACACAATAGACCACAGCATTCTACTGCAGAGGCTAGAATGTGATATAGGTCTTAGAGGAACAGCCCTTGGCTGGTTTAAATCCTATTTATCAGATCGGTATCACTTCGTCAATGTGAATCAGGACTCGTCGCCTTATTCTGGAGTGGAATTCGGTGTGCCGCAGGGTTCGGTACTCGGACCGATTCTTTTCACTCTCTACATGCTGCCATTAGGAAACATTATTAAAAAGCATGGAATTAATTTCCACTGCTATGCAGATGACACACAGCTTTATCTGTCGATGAAGCCTAATCAGACAGATCAGCTAGAAAAGCTCAGTGCTGCATAAAGGACCTTAAAATGTGGATGACTCTTAACTTCCTACTTCTCAACCCGGAGAAGACAGAAGTGATCCTACTCGGTCCGAAGCGCCTGCGTGACTCCCTCACTAACCAGATAATTACTCTGATAATGTCAGTATTATACCCAGTAACACTGTGAGGAATCTTGGAGTCATTTTTGACCAAGAACTCTCCTTCAAGGCTTATATAAGCCAAGCAACTAAAACGGCGTACTTCCACTTACGGAACATCGCTAAAATTAGGAATTTCCTTCCTAAAAGTGACGCGGAAAAACTCATTCACGCGTTTGTCACCTCAAGGCTCGACTACTGTAACGCTTTACTGGCAGCGTGCCCTAAAGCCTCTTTGAAGAGCTTCCAGCTCGTTCAGAATACAGCAGCTAGGATCTTAACAGGTACCAAAAGGAGGGAGCACATAACTCCGGTGTTAAAATCACTCCACTGGCTCCTGTGGAGTACAGAATAAAGTTTAAAATCCTACTCTTAACATATAAAGCCATAAATGGCTTGGCTCCTTCTTATCTCCAAGACACGTTAGTGTCGTATCAACCAGGTCGAGCGTTGCGCTCACAAAACGCCAGACGTCTGGTGGTCCCTAAGGTCTCAAAGGTCACTGTTGGTGGCAGAGCATTTAGCTCCAAGCTCCTTTACTGTGGAATCAGCTTCCCATTTATGTTAAGGAAGCAGATACGGTCTCCACATTCAAGGCCAGGCTTAAAACACTTTACTTTAATTTAGCATATAATTAGGTAATATATAATATATGGTATATATTATATATATATGCTGTATTATGTTATATATTATACAATATATGTATTATGTTATGTATTGTGTTATGTTGTATATTATGTTATATATTATGCTGTATGTTATGTTATGTATTACATATGATATATATGGTATGTATGGTATATGTGATGTATATGATATATAATGTATAATTAGGTTTGCTTGGATCGGTTTGCACACCTGGTGTGTAATCCATGAGTCTTGGT